AATTTAATAAAAGTAAAATTGTTTTAAAATTAATAATTAAAATATTCTACGAAGCTCGACAACCTAAAGAAGAATGCGTACAACAAGAAAGGATTAGTTCTAAATGATGCATTCAACTAGTATTTCTGTCACAATAAATGGCATACGATGACGATACTGCAGAGTACATGAGACTATTGTTAAATTGGTCAGACCAAGTTAAGTCGATTAATGTCAAATTAAAATGCTTAAAAAAGCCTAGCGGTGAAATTTCGAAAGTGTTCATTAATATTTTTAAATGTTTAAAATCGTCAAGTAAATTATTGTGCAAATTAGAATATTTAGATATTTTATATTATTTGGAGTTAAGGAAGTTCGATTCGTGGCAGACCGTTAGTTCCAATATTTCGATTGTGTTGCCCCGGAGCAATGCGATGTCAGGACGTAATGTCTTGAAGAGACACGACAGTGAGCGGATATTTTTGCAGTTCGTGTCAGCAAATATTGAAACCTTTGGTCCCGCACACGACTTAAGTTTTTCTACGATTATATTCAAAATGTTGTCGTGGCGTGTAGTTTATCTATTCAGTGCCACCATCGAATTGCAGTTGGACAAAACATGCTTGTTGGTTTGCCTTGCATTGCAGAGCGGACAAAGTGCAGTTGACGATTTCCCCCATCTAAACAGATTAGCATTCGTGGGGAGCTGTTGGATGAGACTTTTCCTGACGAATTTGAATAGGGTCTCTGTGAGACTTTCAGTGAACTTCGACCAGTAAGCAATTCTAGTCGTGGAAATGTGGTCTTTAATCGATTTCAGAAGCGTCCCTTGGCAGCGGAGCGACAGCAAATGTTTTAGTTCTGCATTTTCTTGTTGAGTCGTTAGCGCTTTGAGTGTCGGTTTGATATCCTTTGTGCCCGGTAGCAAGTTGTCAATCTTTGTGTAGCTATTGTACGACTCATTCCATAAACACTTTAGTTCATCATTGCCGTTTGTCTTCAGATAGTTTCGAAGTTTCAATCTTAACGATTTGGCAAAGTTTTTGAGTGATCTAACGTTTAGACGTCCTGATTTACTGGGGAGCGACAAGCTTTCTGATAGGTAGCTGCTAATTGGCAATGACAACCATGCTCTAACCGTATCGGTAACCAGTGGATATAATAATAATAATTAAGAATAATAATAATGATAATGTAGATTTTCGCCGGGCGACATCCGAATTCCGCACCACGCGGTCCCGAACCGCGTCCGCATACGAATATCCACTCGAGCTTTCGCCTCGGCGGAGTCTTTCCTGGCCGGGATCCGCCACTCTACAATAGACCCTCTCAGCGTCTGAAAACACGGGCCGGGCGGAAGTTTGTTCGTGCCCTGCTTGTTGACTAGAGACGCCGACCTCGTCAACTATCAGCAAGTCTTCTTCAACATCCATTATTTTAGGTAAAATAATTAAGTCGAGCCAAATTTCAAGTGTACACTTCTTTTATTCAATAAAAGAAACAAAATAACAAACAAAATAATACAAATCAAACCTCTGTCTTTATTAAAAAAACGATAAATCCAAAATTAATCTATTAATAATATAACTACCAAGCTAGAAACAAAACCTAAAATTAAAATAACAAACGACCAGCCCCACTATATCTCAACTCGCGGCGTTTTATATGTTTTTACCGCCCTATCTACATAACGCTTTCTATATCATAGAAAATTCTATACTCACATCTATACTCTTTTCCTATACTCAGAACAGCGCGTAGCACGCGTCGATTATATTGCTATGCTCCCTATTTACAAAACAGCACAGCAGCGTCGCATATATAGCATATCAAATAACAAGATATACATGCATAGAATGTCTATTAAAATATATAGATATATACAGGCGGCACGCCTCAAAGACGCAATCATTATCATCACAATCGTCACAATTTCACAGAATATACAGGCGGCATATTACAATCGCGCAATCATTATCATCACAATCGTCACAATTTCACAAAATATACAGGCGGCATATTTCAATCGCGCAATCATTATCATCACAATCGTCACAATTTCACAATAATAATAATAACAATACTATGTATATCAATACAGTTGATGTAATATATCTATGAATTAGTAATGATGATATATATATTTGTTTTTTAAACTATTATTACACTCTTGAAAAATTTTCGCAGCATACTTTAAAAGTTGCGCTGATCCACTGTACGATGACTCTTGGAAAGGCTTCAATTGTAATGCGTTTGATGAATTTCCTTACCACCTTGTAAGTTCTGCGGATGAAAATGTTATATCTGTCAATGAGATTAGTGACTGAATTACAAATTTTACCGTTGATGTCATTGCAACAAATTAACTTAATTAATTTAATTTTATACTAATGTGCATCAAAGGTTCGTGCAAATGACTACCGTTCTCTCGGAGAAATCCTTTGCAGTTTGAAGTTCATACAGTCGAAGATGAGGATGGTCCTGTGTGATTCTCTGCTGCAGGATTACGACGTCACATGTTTGTCGCATATATTACATGCAAATAAAAATTTGTAACGTATATTTTTATTTTCAAAATTTTTTTGACAATTTTTTTCAAGCTTGGTATATATATATATATATATATATATATATACTTCATGGCCGAGTGGTTAGCGTGTCCGTCTACTACTCCCACAACCCGGGTTTGAATCCTGCAGTTTCTACAGGTTCATCCGGGTAGCCAACCCCCGGCTAACCCAGCCGTCCATTCTTCCGAGGTCGGTAAATGGGTAGACGACTAAGCTGTCGTATGTTGGCCGGCGAGATGGCTCAGTGGTTCAAACATCTCAGTGGCTATCATATACTCAGCGTAAATGATGCGGTGCTTGGGCGTGCTTCTAAATACATGTGTACATGTGTGAAAAGGATAAACAGCCTTTGTGGCGAAGATGGCTGCTTCAAAATCAATGGATGAAGATATGAAGAACATAATAAAGATATATAGATAATATATATTTAACATTGTAAGTGGTTTTGCGTACGTCAGAGCTGCAATAATAAAGACTAAAAAATTATTAATATGTGTGTGTGTTTGTGTGTTTTTAGTTACTTTGAATCTGTAGTTTCATGTTGTTATTCATGTTATTTATAGATTTCTTTATTTATATCATTGTGTAATAGGCTCTCAAATAATAAGCCCAGCTTCTAGGAAGGAATATGACCAATTAATTGCCGACGAACGATTTAAAGAATACAAAAGTTTTGTTTATAAAAATTCCCACATTATCTCAACGTAAGTTTTTGGTTTATGATCGGTCATTCGCGATTGAATGTGTTTACATTGTTTTGCATGAAATCACATCAGAAATCCTCAACTGACCTACCAACAAGCATTATTGGAGAGGAACGATTCCTGGGTTTATAAAGATGTCGTCGAGTATTTAAATGATTGTCCGTCGGTAGAAAGTGGACCTTATTTTAAATGCATTAATAAAAACGAGTACAGTGATCTGTGTGTTCAATCTTTTTGCAGTAATAAACAGGTCTGTTTTTCTATATTCCATCATGGTATGAAAATTATAAATTGTTCATATCGTTTATAATAAATACGTTCGTTTTAATTGTATGATTGCTTGATTAATTTGAGGTGTTTAAAACATTTTCCAAACATTGTAAAAGTACATATGATTTAAATTTATCAGGTTGCAACTTGCCTATGCTTGTCACCTGATAATCGCTTACTGGCCGTTGGGTTCACTGATGCAATTGTCCGAATGTTTTCAACTTCAACTTACCAGGTCCGTTGATTTGTAAAATCTTTTTTGTAAAAGTTATTGCTCATTCTTTATTATTTTTTTCAATCAATAATTTAACTTGAAAAGTTTTATGTAGGACAAACATTTGAAACTCTTGTATTTGTACTTGCACTTGAAGATACACAAGTACAATGTGCAAATTATTTTATTTTTTTTTACATGCTTGCTTTCACTGTTATCTTGTCATTTTTAACAAACTTCTAAATTTTTAGTGTAGACGTGTTTTTAGAGAAGCACTGTCCCATAATTAAATTAACAGAATTGAATTAATTAAACTTATGAATAAATTAATAATACTATTTAATATATGCTCCGGCGAATAAATTACGTCATGCAATGATGATGGCGCGATTTAGTTTTAAGGTTTCTTTTAGTTTGAAGCTCTGACGTATAAATTTATATATTTACAAAAATAACGTTCCTTTTTTGTTACATACAGCCGACCTTCACAGTTTTAGATGTTTTTTTTTAAATAATTAGCAACTAGTGAATAACAAAATACTCGAGTGTCTTAGAGAAAGGATGATGTTAAAATGTTTTGAAAAGTGTTATTTACAAATATTTGCAACTTTACTCTCAACTATTTATATTTTAGTTAGAAAATTGAATTTGTTTCAAATTAATGAAGATTCAATGGACCTTAATTGGTCAGAGTGGCGCAATAACGTGCATGTGTTTCGTGTCTGGCGGCAGGTTTTGCTGTGCATCAAAAGATCTGACATTGAGTCTTTGGAACATTCAACCATCTTACAGGTTTCATTTTTATCTTTTTTGTACTTTTTTAATTTTTTAGAGCAATTGCTAAATTTTCATGTATTATTTTATAATATTTCGACAGGTGAGTTTTATTGTAATTGTTTTATACCAGCCTTTATCCATAATTTTCGTGATACAAATTAGTTTGGAAGTAGTAATAGTACTTAAAATTGAACAAATAAATGTGTTAATGAATTTAATTTCAAGCAAATTGTAGTTATGTTATAAAAATGTCTAATGACTATAAGATGAATTTTTTCTCAAACTATGTTGCGGATAGTTTGTCGAATTATGCCGCAAATCAGTAAAATTAGGTCGCAAATTATTTGTCGGATTATGTCTCGAATTATTCGCCAAATTATATTGCGCATTATCTGCCAAATTTTATCGCGTGTTATTTGAAGGATTACCCATGTGAAGAATTATTTGTCGGATTATTTCGCGAGTTATTTGTAGGATTACACATGTGAAGAATTATTATTTGTTAGATTGTGTGTGATGAGCGGGCACAGTCAGTTGGTGGCCGGGTGCGCGTCAAACCGCATCGGACGCATCATCGTTTCGGCTGGCTGGGATGGTATCATCAATGTCTGGCATGGCGTCACCGGTCAACTGGAGTTTAAGTTACCAAGGCATGGGTTAGTTGATTTAGTGTGTTTGTTTACCTTTCTAAAAAATTTCCAACCAGCGTTGTTTTTTGGTAAATTAAAATTAAATTGGTTATTTTTGTTGTTTCATTTGTAGCAAGTTATTGATCTTAAATGTCTTAAATGCAACACTTGAAAAATCTTAATTTGATAGATGATTTAAAATCGACATTACATTACAGTTGTTGTTAAGTGTTTGCAATTTCAATAGTTACATTTAAATAGTATCGAAATTTGTGATACTGAAAATAGTCAAGAAGAATTGATGCTCAAAAGGCAAAAGGTCACCAAGGTTTTTATTCTTTACAATATTCAAACTCTGACAGGCGCAGAGATTGGCTACAAATATCATTACAAGGAACAAATAACAACAGTGAAAGTGTACAAATGAAAAAAAAGCAAAATGGAACATAAATAGAAAATACACTTTGAGACGCATAACAAATATATACAAGAATGCAAAATAACTTTGGAAAGATCATAAACTAAATATAAGATTAACAGACACATAAGAACAAAGAAAGAATGAAAAATAGATAAGTAGGTAAAGTTATTCAAAGACAGAATTATTAAATATATCCAAAATAAAAGAGAGCAAGCACCCGTTTTTTACCGGTACTAGGATGGTTCAGCTGCAGATGTCCTTCGGACAATTCTTATCTAAAACCGCTTCAACTTTTCAGTTCTGGTGAGAACATCGAATTTACGCTGTTGTGAAGAACATTGATTAATTGATTAGATTCAAAGTTGATTTGAAACGCGTTCTTAGGTTTTTAGATGAAAAAATACAGAAAAGGTATTAGTGATTAGCGAAGGGAAGTGTTTTTGAGTAACGGTCGATAATGATACTGAAATACCGAAGTCATCAGAAAATATTATATGGGTCAAACTGAGTTGCGATGCTGGGGACCACCAATTCTACTTGTTGGGCTAACCGCAACAGTGAAAATTTACAAATTTGTCAAGTATTTTAGTAATTGTCCCGCATTTCAAGTCTACGGATATTTGCTATTATTAAATTATGTGTGTTGGAAACCTATGCTTCTCCCCACTACCAATTATGATTATGACAATTTATTAAAAACTCGTTAGAACTAGTTTCCATGTTTTATTGAGCATTAATACTTTGAACGCATATTGTGTAAAATTATTGAATTAGTTAATTAATTGGTTAATTATTTGAATAATTGTTTTTTCCAGGAGCCGTATGAACTGCATAGCACTGCACCATGATGAAACATTGGTTGCTGTAGGATGTTGGGATGCGTCGATTTGCTTGTGGAATATTGTAAGCAGGAAGAAAGTTGCAGTTTTTAGAGGACATTTAAGTTCCGTGAAGGATATTTCCTTCAATAAAACGGGATCTCATTTGGTGTCTGTCGATATTCATGGAGACGTCAAACTATGGGATGCAAAACATGGAGCCATTGTTGGTCTTTGATCAATTTCATGTGCTTAGTATTAGCTTTATATTAAAAACCACTAGTTTCTATGCCAATTTATTAAACCAAAAAAATCAAACTTAACAACTTTTATTTATTTTGACTTAAATAGCGGGCTAAGATTCACTCTTTAACAAATATTCACAACACAATTAATTATTTACCTTCATTTAATCGGCCCTGCTAGATTTCGCTAAATACAAATTTCAATGTTTAGTATCGAGTTGTTTCATTGGATAAGGATGGGATTGTTTGAATTTTATTTTTTATGTTTTATGGCTTATTATAGTAGCTTTTTTGTTCTGGTAGTAGCATGATGTCAATGTGACCTCACCATAAATATGCTGATCTATGTGACCTATGTGTTCACGTTATTAACTATTTACGAAGGTTGGAAATATAAAAGGCCACTCGCAAGAGGTGTCACGTGTTCTTTTCAGTCCTGATGGTAACTACCTGCTTACTGCATCATTAGACTCCACCATTAAGGTTCTTTTTGAAACATTGATTGATTGATTGATTGATTGATTGATTGGTTGGTTGGTTGGTTGGTTGGTTGGCTGGCTGGCTGGCTAGCTGGTTGGTTGGTTGGTTGGTTGGTTGATTGATTTCATAATATTATCTTTTAGTTTTTTCAAGATAGAATAGTATAGAATTATTGTTTTATGCAAAAAGTTAACTAATTTTGACACATTTTAAGGCATTTTTTTTTATCAAAATTTACATTTATTTTTAAAAATTTTAATGCTAAAGTTTTAAAAAATTTGGAAGTCAAAGCTGGTAAATTTTCAATAAAAGAGTTAGAATCGGAAAAACTTCATTCAACTCCGCCACCTTGACTCGGGATAAAAAATAATTTTTGAAAGTTTGATCAGCATTGAACATGCTGATCTTTATGCAGTTAGAAGATAATAGGCTCTTAATTTTTTGTTTGAAAACCAAATAGTTTAGTGAAAATGTGTTCTCCAATGTTCAATATTTCAACTTATCAAAAACTCGAATAAAACTGTTAATCGGCTTTGATGTTTCATGAGTCTTTAAAATTTTTTTAGGTTATCCGAATGGAGCTTTGAAATATATTTATTTAATAAACTTTTTTTTAATTTAAATGTATCTGACGTAAAGTCGCAGTTATTTTGCATGAGTTTTAAGCGTTTAACACCTACTTTTTTAAATGAAGCTAAATATTATAAGCATCTTTAAGGTCGGTTTTTTATTTTTTTTAATTCTTTGAATCTAACTTGAATAAATGCATTAGGTTTGGTCTTCAAGCATGGGTAGATGTTCGAACGTGATTGGAAATACATCGTATGGATCGGCAACTTGCGTTCTATTTCATCCTTCCAATTCATCGTTGTCACAATTTGTCACCGTTGGATACCACCAGGGTAACCTGAGAATGTTCAACTGCTCAAGTGGTCTGTCTTATTTCTCATCTCATTTTTCATTTATTTACCATCATAAATTTTTTGAATCAGTTAAATTGTACGGCTGTTCAAAATTTTTATTTTCATTAATAAATTATTAATAAATTATATTCTATATTTTCTATTCCATTTACCTTTGATACCACCATATTAAGGTTTTACGGTGTTTGAGAAGTCATACACATTTAGTGCTGTATCTATCATGTGTTTATCTTATATGGTGTCCACAAATATTGATGGCAAAGACAACACTGAGTTCTTAGTTGCTGGAAGGGCTGACGCTGTTGCTATGGTTATTTTTAAACTTTCCATTTTCATTCATTTAATCAATTCAAAGGCACCGTTTCCGATGTGTTCGACAACGATTCTCAATGAATTCTACAAACAGACGGGTTTTGGGATGCGCCGAACTTCATGAGTGGTGGAGTTAGATATGGAGGAAGAGAGTTCCAGAGTAAACGACCAGAAAAAGCTAAAACAGATTCAGCGTAAGGGTGTTTAATAAGAATTAAAAAGATGTGAGACTAAGAAGACCAGGGCGTTTAGGTTTAGTTAAAATATGCGATAAGTATCTTGGATTTAACTTATATTGAGACTTGGACATTAACGTGCAAATTTTAAAAATGATTCTTTATTTTATGGGTAACCAGTGCAAGAAATAAGATATAGAGATACACAAAGAAGACAGGGCACGACCAACTAATTGTACCCTTAAATAATAAATTAATTAGTTTCATAAATTATGTTAACGTTACATTACTGAACGTTAACACTGAAGATTGTCGACCATGAATCCGGGACCCTCCAGCACACGTTGGTCGGCCACAAAAAGTCAATCACGTGCGTTGTTTGCGCGTCACTGGTTGCCAACCGTTATGTTATAACAGGCAGTGAAGATTTTACCATCAACGTTTACGATGCTTCCACATTTGATAGCTTTCACTCACACAGGTTGGATCTGTTTAACATTAGGTTGATTATTGTTGAGTTATATAAAAAAATAACATTTTTTGAGCTTTTTTCTAAAGTTCCCAGTCAGTGACGGATCTAGACAACTTTGATGGGGGGCCAAGATTTTCAACCAAAATATTTGACGACCGGCGGAGGTGAAAATTTGTTGTATTAAAAGTTGATGACTAAGTCGGTGGGGGAAATTTTTTACAATTTTTCTTGGGGCAAAATGTTTCAATTTTTACCTTGGGAGGCAACTTTTTTGGTAATGTGGTCACAATTATACTTTCCATCTTTTTTCGGCTTATAATGTCAATTTTTCCTTCAAAAACACTACTTTACTAACTTTTAACACAAGTAAAGTTCAATACGCACCCCCCTAGATTTGCCACTGATTCAATGACCGGTAGGACGTGGGCTCTGATTGTAGGATGTTGTGTCTCTCATAGTCGCAGTCGAATAAAAATTTTCTCAGACCCTTGGTCGAAAATTTTCTGATTTCTTGTAAAAATTTCCGACTTCGAGTTCCAACTCCCAGAAAAATTTTTCAAATTTTGTTTCAAAATTTTACTTGAATATTACTACCAAATGAAAAATACTTAAAAATCACTTGAAATCAGTCAGTGCAATTGTTTTTTTTTAATTAAATTACTTTATATTTATGTTTTAAAACATACTTTAAAAAAATTATTTTATTGTATTTACAATATTAGCATTTATTTTAGTGTTAAAAATCTTCGCGTATCGTAGCACGAAAAAAAACACGATCTAAAAAATTCTAAACGTGATTTTTCAAACTTGTGTTTTGTCTAGAATAACTATGTGCAATTAAGAACGATAATGAATGTTACCGATTTAAAAAGTGGTCTGCAACATTGCGTCTTTTAATACGATAGTAGTCCGGTGGGAAAACTGTGGCCTAAATTATACATGTTGTTCTTCGTAAAAAAATTATTTATTCATCTATACATATTTTAAATATTGGTGCCATGAATATTTATTGTTCCTTACGAAAAGATAACTTGATTATTTACGCTTGATATTTGTGTTCAATGTTTAAATTAATTTTAAAATAAAGTAAACATTCTGGTGATACTTTCATAATGCACCCGTTTGATTTAACCCTTTTATTGAATTATATAAATATATGTCAAAAATAAGGAACAACTTTTCACAAATTTGTTCAAGCTCAAAACTTTGAGCGATAAATTGGCTCACGTCAAATGTAACCATGATTTAACAATTGAACAGCGTAGTGAGTTGAAAAAGCATCTGGATGACGCTAAAGCGAGGGAAGCTTAATGCAAAGATGGTTTTTTATACAGCGAGAGAAGCTAATTGCAAAAGATGGTTTTTTTATACGACAAGGGAAGCTAAATGCAAAGATGGTTTTTTTTATACAGAGTGCAAGCAGAAGTTGGAAAATGGAAAATTGTGCAGTTTCCATCAAAAAAAGAATTAAATTAATTAATGGCTGAGTGGGTTCGAGTTATGATTTGGTTAAGAGTAACTTAACGAAGATCTAATTTTAATAATTTCAAATCCAATGTTATGCTTGGATTGTTAAACATGTATCGAATCAGGCAATTACTAGATAAATCAACTTTGGAAACGCTGGTCCATGCCTTTATTACATTTTGTTTAGATTATTGCAACGGCTTGTTTTATAAACTACCAGACACGTCAATCACAATCCGTGATCACAATCAGTACAAAACAGAGCTGCGAAACTTGTTATTGGTGATAATGATTATAATAATAATGATAATAATAGACATTATTATAATACAAGAAGCCGAAATATAAAAAAAAATTATTACTCCGAAATATAAAAAATAAAAATTATTACTTAAAATTCCCACCACATGTTTGAACCTTTAACGTTTACCATGACAACAAATTAACATTCTATTTCAATTTGAATTTGCTTTATTGTTTGTATTTGAATTAGTTGTTATAATTGTTTCTATTAATTTTCTGTCAAATTATAAAAATAATTGCTCTAATGATGATAAATTTTTATTGAAAAAGAGAAAGATCTATATGCTTACAACTAAATTTATAATAAAATATGATTTTTTGATTATTAATTTTTTGATTTTTAATTATTTAAATTCTCAACGTAGACATCTAATACATAACATTAATAATTCAAATTGTAAATTAATTAACGCTAAAATTTCGGTAAATTTCATAAAAAAACACTTTATAAATATATATATAACTCGAGCATGTAATAACAAAACTTCAAGATTGGTTAGGTCATGGAAACGTATTGATGAAAATATACTGACCATGCTTGTTATGAATTCACCACTGCATGAGCCTTGTCGAAGTCGAGATGTGAATCGTGAATTTGATGTTTTAAATAACGAAATGAGGAAGATTGCTGACAAAATTGCGCCTCTCCGGTTTATCGAGCATAGAAGTGATCTTATGGCTCCGTGGTTTGATGATGAGTGTAGAGCAGCTAAAAGATACTGTCGAAGTAAAGAAAGGAAATACAGATGTTGTTTGTCATCAGTGAGTCGAAATGAATGGATCGCTTCTTTGAAAAATAAAACCAAACTCTTTTCAATAAAAAGAAATGATAACTGGAAAACGTTGATTGCTGATAGTAATGGTGATTCAAAGGGTCTATGGAACGTAGTAAACAAAATTCTTTGTAAAAGTAACCATAGCTTACTATATGATAATGTTGACATCACGGCTTCTCAATTTATGGGTTTTTTCAAGAAAAGACCGATTGGATCAAGCATACTATTAGTATTAACGAAAAACCTACTTTTGACAGATGTAGGCTTACCGAAAATTGTCTGCTCACAAATTTTGCTGTCGTTGAGGAACTAGACATAAAGAAAATTGTGCTTGATCTACCGGCTAACACCTGTATGTTAGATGTTTTTCCGACTCATGTGCTTAAAAAACATATAGATATTTTTATTGTTTTTCTCGCAAGCCTCGTTAACTTATGTTTGCAAGAGGGAGTATTTCCGAATAAATGTAAGCACGCAGTTATTACACCTGTCTTGAAGAAAATGAAAGATGATAGAAATGAAATGAAAAGTTACAGACCTATATCAAACATTTGCTTCATTTCTAAAGTTATTGAACGAGTTGTTGCCAGTCAGCTACTGAGTCATCTACACAAAAATAGCTTAATACCAGTATTTCAATCTGGATATAAACGTTATCACTCAACTGAAACAGCACTGCTGTATGTTATGTCTGAGTTGTTTAATGCAATTGATAAACAATATTTTTCTTTGCTTACATTCTTGGACATGAGTGCTGCCTTCGATTGCGTAGACCATCAAATACTGATGAATCGCCTACAATATGATTACAGAGTTACTGGAGTTGTAGCTAATTGGTTCAATTCGTACTTGTTTGGCAGAACTCAGCAGGTTTTTTTCGGGAACAAATTATCTAGTATTGAAGCAATGTCATCTGGTGTACCACAAGGCTCAGTCCTGGGACCTATTCTGTTTGTACTGTACATTGCTGAAGTATATGAAGTAATAGAATCCTTTGGATTTTCATATCATGCGTACGCTGATGATATCCAAATAATAGTTAGCAGTGAACCAGAACTGTTTGAAAGTAAAGTTGAAAATCTCATTGAATGCTTGACTAAAATAGGTACATGTATGTCAAGAAATTGTCTCAAATTGAATCAAGATAAAACTCAATTTTTACCTGTCGGTACATGGCAACAGCTTTCTAAAATTAATATTAATTCAGTCAAAATTGATAATAATGAAATACAATTCTGTGAAAATGCAACAAACCTAGGGTGTATTTTTGACTCGGGATTATCTTTTAAAGATCATATAAAAACCATATCGAAATCATGTTCTTATCAGCTTTGCCAGTTATACCGCGTTCGAAAATATTTACATCAAACAACCATGCAAACACTAATTCATGCGTTTGTTTATTCACGGTTAGACTACTGTAATAGCTTGTTCAATGGATTACCAGAGAGATCTATTGCTTTTCTTCAATCGATACAGAATATAGCTGCAAAAATAACTGTTGGACGTAGAAAGTATGACCATGTGACACCCATTTTAAGAGACCTACATTGGCTAACAGTGAAAAAAAGAATCAACTATAAGATTTGTGTGACTATGTATAAGGCTTTGAACCAGTATATCTAGCAAATAAAATCTTAAAAAAACCAGCTTCTTCAACAGGTGTAAAATTGAGATCAGACTATGCCAACCTACTGGCAGTGACAACAACTCAACTACAAACTGCAACTAGAAATATTGCCGTGTCAGGACCAATTGCCTGGAACAGTCTTCCGCAATCGCTCAGAATGCCTTGACTAAAGCTTGATGATTTTAAGAGGAACTTAAAAACATATTTATTTTGACATAGAAATACTTTATTGATTTGTACTTTATTGACCTTCACTGATTTCATTTATAATGGAGAGCGCTTTCGAGAAATTTCAATTTTATAATGCGCTTAATTAATTGTTGATAATAATATATATATATATCGCGCTTGTAGGGCCACTCAGATCAATATCAAGACAAAATATTTCTAAATAAAATGACAATAGACTAAAGTAACGAAACAAAGCCAAAAACAAAACATGCATATACTTAAGTAAATGCTCATATACATATGAAAACATACAGTTAAACTGAAATACAAGAGATAATTAATTAATTATTTTAAAAGTAAAACACAATGAATAAATACAAAGAGTAAATACGGTCAATCACTTGTGAAATAACCAGATAAAATAAGATGGTGAATCGCAGTTTTGAATAATCCAAGAGAGGGTGAGTCCTTTACATACACAGGTAAAGTATCCCAAAAACGCATAAGAGGAGATAAGACTAAGTTATGAAAAAAAATTGACTTTGGTTTAAAGAGATAAAAATCAAGATTATAACGTAAAGTATTTCTTTTAGGATTTTTAAATAATATAACTTGACTGTAGAGAGTCGCACAATAGTTTAATCTATATATTTTAAAAAAGATAACAAGCAAATAAATAATGTACAACTGATATATGTTATAAATATTAGCCAATTGATAACAATGACTTATATGATCAATTTTTTTTAATTTGAATAATATCCTAAGAAAAAAAATTTGAACTAAAGTTAAAGTTTTAAGATGAGATGTAGGGGCTAAACCCCAAACCAAAATACATTAAGTTAAATATGGTAGCACGAGAGAGTTATATAAAGTCAATAAGATGAAACTTGGAAATTTAAACCTTAAACGATATATAATACCTCGGTTTTTCGATAATTTACATGAAATATGTTTAATCTGATCAAACCATGACAAATTCGAAGTAATAACAACACCAAGGAATTTCACTGAATTAACCCGTTTTATAGCATAATTGTTTAAATATATAACAGGGAAAAAAAATATCCAATCATAAGTAAATTTTAATTCATAATTAAAATTACCCGCGTTAGGCCAGACGTACGTTTCGTCTTTCGCGAGACTCGTCAGTAGCCTGCCGAATAAGGTTTAAGATAACACAACTCAATTATTGTAACCAAGAAACTCAAATTGAGGTGTCGCGACCAATAGATAAGAACAACATCGCGTTGTTACAAGGTTTAAGAACCCATTCGGTCGCAAGAGGTATTATTGGTATATATATATATATATATATATATATATATATATATATATATATATATATATATATATATATAGCTTAACCCAGACAAAACGGAAATGATATGGTTTGGTTCTAAGAAGGCTTTATCTGCACTAGGAGGTGACCTTTGATATATTGGGTAATAGGTTGATCTCGGCTGAGACAAGGTCAAAAATTTGTGTGTGAAGTTTGACAGGTCTTTAACGATGTTGCCTCAGATTGCGAAACTCAATGCTATCTGCTTTCTTCAGTTACGAAGATTGTATCTGGTCCAGAAATGTCTTCCAGTTGATATTTTTACTAGCCTGGTGGTGGCTTTTGTACTGTCTAGACTAGACTATTGCATTCTGTTGCTGTATGTTGCTTGTGTAAGGGTAGTAAATAAAGTTCAACGAATCCAGAATACTGCCGCCAGATTAGTCATTGGTCTAAGTAGACGTGATCACATTACAAAGTGGTTGGAAAGTTTCTACTGGCTACCCATCAGGGAACGGATAAGATGGCCGTGGTGGCTCATAGTTGCGTACATGGTGGTGGCCCAGAATATCTGAAGGAGGTTTTTTGCCAAAGAACTGAAGTTGATGTGGGACATGCATTGCGTTCGGTCTCGTCAGAAATGATGGTAATTCCTAGGACCAGGACAAAACTGGGAGACAAATGTGTGCAGGTTGCTCTGCCCAACATTGAAGCAAATTGTTTCAGAAAAAGATTTCAGAAGAGAGTTAAAAAGTTATTTGTTCAACAAAGCATTTAATCACAGTACAACCCTCTGAGAAATGTCAATAGAGTAAATTATATAATAATAATATATATTATGAATATTTTTGAGATTAACATTCCAATAATCCGATAGTTTAAAATATTTTAAAATTAATCATTGAAATTTTATTTAAGGTTAATTAAAAAATCTTTTATTAAAAACTAACGAATTAAATAGCAAATATGAACCTGTGGATGTCTTGGTTGGTCACGTTGGAACAGTTTCATGCCTCTCGCTGAACAATCATCAAACGTTGCTCGCTTCTGGTGGACACGATAGAGTAAGCTTTGTTGGCATGAATTTACATTTTATAATTTTACTCACAGTAACCATTCCTGCGACCCTAGTTAGTCACTTCGATTCAATTGTTTTTCTCCAAAATGTAGTAGCATTTAATTTTAAGTCTTTTAATTTATTACTTTGTCTGTTAACAGTTTTATTCAAAGTTATTCTTATTTTTCTTTAATTTATTGATTTAGAAAATTGTGGTATGGGATGTGATGTCAAAGAATCAGAAATTTGTGATCGATGATGCACATTTCGACTGGTTGACATGCTGTGCCTGGTCCAGTAACAGTCCCCATCTTGTGAGTTTTCTTACATCCGTTAATTAATCTCATTCACTGATTTCTGCTGGCTTTTACGATGCGTACAAATTTTTATTTGTGCCGATTATGTTGTTACGAATTATTATTAGTTTAATAAAATAATTACGTTTATCACTTGGTTAAACATGATTTTTAAAATTTATTTTTAAAAACTAACAAACATCTAATGAGTTTGTTAAGATTTGCGTTTTGCAAACTTATTTATAAAAAAACATTCATGCTCCTATTTTTTCAAAATTTTATCAACAATACTATGTTGCACCATTTTGACAGCTTTTTGTTTTTACGCGATTTTTTTGGCGCGGTTTTGTTGGCGCCATTTTGTCAGGCGCTATTTTTTCGGTGAACCGTTACGTAGGAATGTTAGGTTGTTGAATAGTCAAGTATGAACGGTGTATCACATACAAGTATCTTACTTATTGCTATTGTTGTCTCAGTTAGTGGTCCTTTGGTGTGCATTTCAATCAGTTGTGTCGTTCAAATTTTAAATTTCCTGAATTATACTACTGACAAATTGCAACCATGCCTGGTGCAATAGAATTTCGTTAAGTTTGTGCATGTGCATTGAGTTGCATGTTGAGCTGTTTATTTATTTAATAAAATCATTTTTATTTGACTCCTAAAGAACAAATGAAAATATTTTATAAAAATGAAAAAGAGATTTTAATTTTCTATTTACTCAGTTCTGCCATTTTTTTGTAATGTATTCTCCCTCTAAAACAATGCCACATAAAAAATTCTTCAATAAATTATGTTGAGTTAATTAGATCTCTTAATTCATCATTCAAATTTCACAGGTTACTGGTTCAAACGATTTCAACCTCAAACTCTGGAACATGAATACTGGCAAAGAAACGCTGAAGCTCGTTGGCCACATGGCAGCCATCAGTCATGTTGTTTATAAGGTTGACATTTTTGTCTAGTTTATAAGTTGAATGCCTTTCATTTCATATTGTTCGTAAGTCGAAATCATAACATTTTCATCTAACTTGTAAGTTGGAATTATTTTTCTTTTTTTTTATTTAAATATTTTCATTTTTATATTTGTTCAAAAAATACTTGAATTAAAAAATTAATCGATTAAAATTGAAGAGCGGATGCATTGTATCAAGCAGCAATGATGGATCTGTCAGGCTGTGGTCCCAGAAAGGAGTTCATCTCTCAACATTAAAAGGACATAAAGTCGGATGCAATGGATGCGACATGTTCCTTCAACAAGAGAGTTAGTTCTTTCAATTCCTTAACCATGTGGTAAAAACTACCAGACAAAAGATTTAATCAGCTGTACTCTAATTTTTTGACTAAATTTGGACAGAAAGGAAATATAGAATTATAGTTTGAAAACATTGAGGATTATTAATTGGTAGAAATTGTATAAAACTTTAAATTTTTCGTTTTTTACGAATTTTGAAAAAATAACTTTTGGCTGTTAAAAATATGTTATGTTCAAAATTATGTCTTATTTAACATTATTCATAGGTTCATATATAGACATATAAATACATAGTTAGTAACCAACGCCGAACATGCTGTGATTTTCATCAATAATTGCATTTCTGACAGTCTTAATCCCCCCCACACACACACACACAAATATATATATATATATATATATATATATATATATATATATATATATATATATATATATATATCTGTGTAGTATTTTGGCTCAAATCTTTAGAACTCTCGTACAAAAGTTCGGGTGCTGACACACTTCTGCTACAATACGATTTACGAAATTTATTATTATGGAACTCATCTTTGATGATTTTGAACATTAGAGATAAAGACTCAGAAAATATTTTTCTTTTGCTATTATCAAATCACACTTTTCAATATTTTTTCTGTTGCCAAAAATATTCTAAAGAAAAGTACAGTGAAAAACTTAAAGTTTGTTAAATACTGATGATATTTTTGCAGAAAAAACTTTATTTTCTTTGCTGATATTTAGTAAATTTAATACCCTAAATAATAATCTTAGAGCTAAATTAAAATTTTAACTTGCAGAAACAAATTAAAATTTTAAGTTGCAGAAACAAATGAAAATGAATCAAACGATTGGGAGACATCAGTGACGGAAGAAATGACGAGAGATGCGAAAATGAGGATTAAGCAAATGATTCATTCTTTGACGGTCGCCTCGTGCTCTGAAGATGGTACTGTTAGAATATGGAAGCCAGTTGAGGTTTGTTAATAAAATTTAAACTATTTCATCATTGTCAATTGTTTTCATTTAACATTTTTTAATTCAACATTTTATTTTATACAATTTTCTACTTATCCTGTCAATGTTAACAGTTTCTGTAATGAAATATTTACCACACTGCAGAGTGATGAGAAACATCGACTTGTTGGTCACGAGAACGAAGTAACTGCATTAGCCATGTCTGCAACTGGCACTGTATGCAGTGCTTCCTCCGATGGATGTATCAGAATTTGGAAATTGCCGAACGCAACGGATAGCGTGCAATCTGTTTCTCCGCCTACATTTGAAGTAACCTCTGTTATTGCCTCCGAAGATGGAAAATTTGTTTTAGTTTCAACCCGGTTAGCAACTTGATAGTAATTAATCGTCATTGCCCTAAATATTAACACATACAATATATAAGCAAATTTAAAAATTTTAACGAAAAACAAGACATTCGCAATCTTTCATTTTTAAAGTTTTTGTACAATTTTTACCGCTTACAGATTAAAAGGTTCAAACCTTTCATTAAATTTGTTCTACTTTCTGGAACATCCCTTATCGTTTCTTTGCAATATATATTATTGGTAAACCATTATCCGCCATAGGCCAGACGTACGTTTCGTCTCTCACGAGACTCGTCAGTAGCCTGCCGAATAAGGCTTAAAATAACACAACTTAATTATTGTAACCAAGAAACTCAAATTGAGGTGTCGCGACCAATAGGTAAGAACAACATCACGTTGTTACAAGGCTTAAGAACCCATTCAGTCGCAAAAAGTATTATTAGTAAACCATTATCCGCCATAGGCCAGACGTACGTTTCGTCTCTCACGAGACTCGTCAGTAGCCTGCCGAATAAGGCTTATAATAACACAACTCAATTATTGTAACCATGAAACTCAAATTGAGGTGTCGCGACCAATAGGTAAGAACAACATCACGTTGTTACAAGGTTTAAGAACCCATTCAGTCACAAAAAGTATTGGTAAACCATTATCCGCCATAGGCCTGACGTACGTTTCGGCTCTCACGAGACTCGTCAGTAGCCTGCCGAATAAGGCTTAAGATAACACAACTCAATTATTGTAACCATGAAACTCAAATTGAGGTGTCGCGACCAATAGGTAAGAACAACATCACGTTGTACTCAAATTGAGGTGTCGCGAGCAATAGGTAAGAACAATCAATCAATCAATCTTCGTTTTGCGTCCAGAGACCCGGTTTTCCGAGGTAGGACGTTGTTCTCTTTGCCATCAACTTTTTGCGCCAAATTAGACGATCAGTTGTATCCATTTCATTTAAATTTAGAGCTTTCACGTCTTGCTCGATTGTTTGCGACCAGGTCTTCGTTGGACGGCCTTTGGGACGTGTGCCAGGTACTTCAACATCTGCAAAAGAAGTTATGGCACTGTTTCCACTTCGTTTTACATGACAAAACCACCTCAGACGGTGTTGCCGGCATTCGTCTTTTATATCATTTAAACTAGCACGATGCAGGATTTCGGTAGATTTGATGTGGTCCTTCAAACTAATTCGTTGCATCCTGCGAAGCATTTTCATGTCGGTTCGTTGAAGTTGTTGTTCCAGTTTGGTTGTCATTGTCCATGTTTCTGCACCATATAACAACACCGAACGTATCACAGATTTATAAAGTCTTGATCGTAATGGTAGTGGAATGTCACGCCGCATCAATATAGAGGCAAGGAGATGCCATTTATTCCAGGCTGCACGTATGCGTGCTCGAACGGCAGCTTCAGCTGTTCCAGTACAATCCAGAACATCCCCTAGATATTGGAACGATGTGACTTTCTCTATCTTGATGGCTTCAAAAACATGTCTATTTCAAATTTGTTGTTGAGGATTGATGCAAGCGGGACAAACAAAATTGGACACTTTAGATAAAGTACCAATTATTTATTATTTTTGAACAACGTTTGTGACACCACTGGTTACACTGCTGACACTTGATTGAATTGTTACCTACACCAGCTTTACAAACTGACAGGGCCATCGTCCAGTAGCTGTGGATTGGATGGGTTCACCAGTGTTCATTGCTTTGGTTTTGCTGATGTTGACTTTGAATCCATGATCGGCGAGTCTGGTGTTCCAATCTTCAAACATCTGTACTGCATTGCTCAGACGTGGCTGTTAAAACATTATCATCAGCATATATTATATTCCAAATGTCACCAGTGCGTATCGTTTTGTGATTTTTTCCATCACAGTTATAAATAACTGTGGACTGAGAATCGAGCCTTGGTGAACTCCAACGCCGATGTCAAATGCATCTGTGTTTCCAATCGTTGTGCTGACAAGAGTCTTAGTATTCGTATATATTTCCATCACAAGTCGAACAAGATATTCTGGAATGAGTTGTCGACGTAGACTCCACCTGATTGCTTCACGGGGAATTCGATCAAATGCTTTTTCAAGGTCTACAAAAATGTGTGATAATTGTTGATGCTTTGCGAAGTACTTCTTTTGCAGTTGCATCAATTGTTGATTTCCCCGCTAGGAAACCAAATTGATAATTTCCGATTGTGATGCACGAAGTTAATCTTCTATCAATGATTTTTTCGACAATTTTCAGGGAGTGTTCTTTCTAACAGACGTATACCCCGATATGATGAACAGTTCAATGGATCACCTTTGCCTTTGTATAGCGGGACTGTCATGCTATAGTTCTATTCAGTTGGCATTGAGCAATTTCTCCAGATTTCACGGCAAAGTTGTAGTAACGTTTGGATACCTGCAGTACCAGATGCTTTGATAATGTCATTTGTGAGTCCTAAGAGCCTTGCTGCCTTTCCATCCTTCATAGCTTTCAGAGCTTCTGTAAGCTCCTCTATAGTGATGTCTGGAATCGGACCTTCGATGGGTAGAGCGTCAAAGTTAACATTGATGGGATTTGTTTCGTTTAACAGACGGTTGAAGTATTCTCTCCACTGTAGCTTGATCTCATCTTGTTTGAGGACCATCTCATTTTTGTCATTTTTGATACATGAGGCACCAACTGTCTTTTTTCGTACGCTTTGCTTGTTTTGCTATACGATACAGAGATTTCATTTGTTCACCTTTGCTTTTAGTGAGCCACTCTCTGCACTGATCTGTCCGAGCCAGTGCAACTTGACGTCTTGCATAGTTTTTCTTCTCACGGAAAATTTTATGGTCATCAACAGACTTTGATTTTTGTCATTGCTTGTATGCACCTTTCTTTTCTTTCAGCTGTTGCATTTTGTACACTGTCATTCCACCACCAAGTGTCACGTCCATGCTGACGTTTTGTACCAGTTTTCCCCACAAACTGTAGTTGCAGCGTTTATCAAAACTGTTTTGTATGTACTCCAATCTGTACTGGCTTGCGATTGGTAGTCTAACTGTGTGGCGACAATCTGTTGAAATTTTTCTCGATGAATATTGCTTTTCAGCTTCCACGTTTTAATTTTCAGAGGCATTTGCTTAGACTTATGTTTTGACAGTTCGACAACCAGGTCTGCCACAAGGAGTCTGTGTTGGGCGACACATGATTCGCCAGGTAAAACTTTGACGTTTTTGAACTGCCTTCGGTGTTGTTGCTTGACAGCGAAGAAATCAATTTGAGTGGCTGATGGTCCATTTTTGTATGTTATGAAATGTTCCAACCTCTTTCTAAAATATGTGTTCAGTAAACAAAACCCGTGACTTTCAGCAAACTCAAGGATGCGGTTGCCATCTTCATTCCGTTTTCCATAGCCAAAACCGCCATGTACGTTGTCAAAACCATCTGTTTTCTCTCCAACGTGGCCATTGAGATCGCCTCCAATCAGGATTGTTTCAGATTTTGGTATTGTTGAGATGGTGTCAGAGAATGCAGCCCAGAAGTCATTTTCCATCTCTTCTGATTCGCCTATCTGTAGTGCGTATGCAGAAAAAATAATCATTGTTTGCTTTTCTATGCGAAGCTTGATCCACATGAGACGTGAATTAATATTTTTAATATCCAGTACTTCTTGGGCTAGCGGTTCTCTGACAAAAATTCCAACACCATTTTCGGCCGTCTTTTGACCATTCCAGAATAGTTTATATTTTTTATATTTTTTTATATTTTTATATTTTTTATATTTTTTTTTCAAAGAACAACATCACGTTGTGTATATATATATATATATATTTATTGTATATATATATATATATATATATATATATATATATATATATATATATATATTAGGGTGGTCCCCAAAATGAAAATGTTTTAAATTTTCTGTCTTACCCCCTAATTTTGTTACCACCCATTAGGTAATACTTGGTGTAAAATCTTAGGTAAATTGGTCAATATTTAGAGGTCGCCCAAGGGCTCTGAAGTTTTACCTTATGGGCCTAATAATTAATCCAAATTGTTAATACAACGTCTTTGTTTTTAATTAACAGATCTTTGTCTGAAAAAGTAAACAACATGGCTGAGTCAACAAGAAAGAAGCAGGATATTTATCTTCTAGGCCAGCCTCTAAAAACTGCCATTCTGGGTAACAAGTTACCAACGAAAGGTGAAGTGATGCGTCGCTTTCTGTACATTCATTTGTCAGAGGAAATGACGGTTCGCGATAGTGAGACTGCTGTTATAAAGAGAGGTACTTCCAATATGGCAACGGGCCAGAATTCCTACAACTCAAGAATACAACGCCATTAAGAAGCTGGATGATATGTTTAAACTGTGGCAAGGATTAAAGAAACATTCTAAGAGAAACTCAGATGCTCAAAGACGTCAAGAACAAGCATTCGTTCATTCACGAAAAGATCTGTTTGATATAGCACATGCTAATGCTATTGAACTGATTCAGATACAAGAAGAATTTTTACAGAGAATTTTTGCTGGCACAAAGGGAACCGGGACGGCGTGGTTATATGAGTGGTGTAGATAAAAATCTGGCGCTGAAAGAGGCACGCTCGTATGAAAGGAAAAGAAGACAGGAGAACTACAAATTAAAGTCAGTCCAGGCGCAGGAAGAGATCACTGCCGGTGCATGTTCAGCTGAAATAGAGCACAGTTCCAGTGATTCATCGTCAGAATGTGAATCAGAAGAAGACAGCATTACCAAACGTGTCCAGGTAAAACGAAGTAGGAAAAGCTTCGATGTCCCGTCCACATTGTGCAGTTAGCAGGGGAACTGCTGCAGCACTTGATCGAACGAAGACTTCTGATAGAAAGGCGACGTACATTATCAGTGGAATTGCCAAACACCTTGGCTTAAATGCTGGAAACCTTGCCATCAATAGATCCTCAATTCGATGAGCTAGGCATAAGCATCGTCAAGAACTTGCGTTGGAAATTCGAAGGAATTTTTCTCCAGACGTTCCTTTGGCTGTCCATTGGGATGGAAAGCTCTTACTTGATTTGACCGGTAATCAGAAAGTTGATCGTCTTCCCATTGTTGTTGCAGGAGCGGGAGTTGAAAAGCTCTTATCAGTTCCAAAACTAGAATCTGGTACAGGGGAAAGACAGGCTACAGAAGTGCACGAATGCCTCTTAGAATGGAACCTAGAGGAGTCTGTTAAGGCATTAGTGTTCGATACTACAGCGAGTAATAGTGGAAAGAAAAATGGAGCATGCACCCTGCTGCAACAAAAATTAGGGCGTAACGTGCTTCACATAGCTTGCCGTCACCACATATCTGAAATAATACTTGAGCATGCGTTTTCTGCATGCATGTCGTCTAATACGTCAGGTCCAGAAATAGCACTCTTCTTGCGCTTTCGAAATGAGTTCAACAGCATTAACCAAGCTGATTACCATACAATTATGGATGATGAAAGCTTGAACAGCAAAGTTGAACAACACAAAGAAGGTATCGTTAGCTTTTGCCTAACGCAACTTGAACAATTTCAGCCAAGGTGCGATTACAGGGAACTACTGGAGCTTTCACTTATTTTGCTGGGAGAGACACCGCCAAGGGGAGTCAGAGTTTTGCAACCTGGAGCTCTGCATAGGGCACGCTGGATGGCGAGACTAATATACGCCTTCAAATTGTACATGTATCGTCATCAGTTTCTGCTGACAAGAGTTGAAGAAAAGGGAATCTGTCGATTCATCGTTTTTGGCATCTGTGTGTATCTTAGATCGTGGTTCACGGCTCCAGATCTTCTTAGTGCCGCTAGACATGATCTCCAGCTGGTAAAGAGAATCCAACAATTCAGAGATGTAGACCGTGAAGTTTCTGTTGCCGCTGCAAACGCACTTTCTAGACATCTATGGTATGTTAGCGAGGAACTTGTTGGAGCTGCGTTTTTCGATGATCAGATTTCTCATGAGGAGAAAGTGTTGATGGTTGATGCTCTGTCAGCGGTATCAAAAACAACCAACGACTTCACCAAAAGAGTGCAGATGAATGTTAATGATATATCTGATGAAATGTCTGTCAAAGACTTTGTTGTGTCTTCGAATACCATGCAATTCTTTGCAATCCTCGGACTGCCTCACTCATTTCTAAACAAGACACCTTCCGAGGGGAGAGAAGATGAACAGTACAAGAAAGCTTTTGAAGTTGTAAGCGGTATAAAGCCAGTCAATGATTTTGCAGAGATGCAGGATTTTAACAGAACAATAGTATCGTCTGAAGAACAAAAGCAGTATGTTCTGCAAGTTGTTGAGTACCATCGTACCCAGTATCCAAACCCAAAGAAAGAGACATTAGTGGGAGGAAATACATCTCCTTAACAACTAAATGGTTTAACAGTGACACTGGGTACTGGACATAATAATTTTATCAGGTAGTTTGTAACAGTTTTGTCATGTTTTGCAACAAAATGCTAATACGTATAATTAGGTGGTAGCACAGGACACTTTGACTCGCTTGGGCGACCTCTAAATTTTGTCTATGGTCAATAAAATTTTATCATATTACTTGTTACATATGAGAGAAACAAATAAAAGGGTAAGACCTGAAAAATTACGCGTTTTATTTTTTCCAATGTAATTGGGGACCACCCTAATATATATATATATATATATATATATATATATATATATATATATGTGTGTGTGTGTGTGTGTATATGTGTATATATATACATATATATATATACACATACACGTCAGCGGTTGAACCTTCATCGATTAACATCAACATGACTGATATAAGTTTCAGTAAAACGGTTACCAATTTGGGAATTGTGATGGACTCCCGTATGACAATGGGTCCACAAGTCAATCTATTGGTTAAATAATGTATGTTCCAACTACGTCAATTACGTCAAGTCACAAAATCGGTAGATAGAGATACGATGACTCTATTAGTACATGCTTTTGTCAACTCTAGAATGGATTATTGTAACAGTCTTCTATATGGCATAGCTGATAAACTGTTGTCTAAACTTCAGATGGTTCAGAATCAGGCTGCTAGAATGATATATCGCAAATTAAAATTTGATCATCCATCACCAATTCTAAAGGAGTTGCATTGGCTGCGTGTTAAACAAAGAATCATGTTCAAGTTGGGTGTAATGGTATTTAAAAGTTTGGATGGTCTGGCTCCGAAATATTTAGAAGATAAGTGTATTCGAGTTTCATCTATGTCATCATATGGGCGTCTAAGGTCTGCTGATTCAAACACGCTGTATGTTAGAGATCGGAATCTGAAAACAGCAGATTGAGATTTTGCAGTTGCTGGGCCTATTTTTTAGAACAGCCTACCTATCGAACTACGTATATCTGGGTTATCATTAGCTGAGTTTAGAAAACGTCTAAAGACATACCTATTTGGTAACTTCTAGTGATCTCAACCGATGATGGCTTCGCTTTCTACATGCTTCATACGAGGAGAGTGCTGATGAAAAGCAATTATAATTGGCGCTATATAAATGCAATATTTGATTTGTTATATATATACACACATATATATATAGTAGATATATAATTTGGAATGAGGTTTTCGGAGAGACACGTTCAGTTGAATATTAACCCCCATTTAGTATTAAAAAGTTTTCTAAACATAATTTCGACAAGTCGGATTTGTGTTCATTCGGTTTTATTCATGGCTATAATTTCAGCTGACGGCCATTCCGTCATTGCCATCGTCGGAGCCTAAATTAGCTTAATTAAACGATAATGTAAAAAAACAATATATTAAAAATATAAATTAATAAAACAACGAAAAATTAAAATTATAAAAAAAAAATTGCAAGTTAAAATTGAAAGTTTGTCGATGTTTTTTAACTTTCGGTAGTAGGTATACATATAATTATCCACACAATTTTAGTTTAAATAATTTCTCCGCAAACTTCACATAACTGTACCGTGCTAACTGTACTGAGTGTTAGCGTGTGTGTGTTTGAGAGAGAATGCGTGTTTGTGTGTGTGTGATGTGTGTCTGTGTGTGTGCGTCGTGAATATTTTATAAAATATACTTTTTTTTCCCCCCTGCAAGAGATGGATGTGTACAAATTTGGTTGAAAGAAGATGGCAATATTTGCAATTATAAAGTTTCCTCTTTCTCGGTGGGTTTTCGTTTTCCAACATTTATCATTGATTTTATATTACTCAGGGTTAGATCAGGGGCGGATCTAGACAACGTTGGCGAGGGTGGGCAAAATTTTGAAGTTGTTGAAATTCGAAGGTGAGTCCAAAAACTAACAAAATTTTTGCTACTGCGGGCAAAATTAAGCTGGCGAGGCGACCTTTTTATCTCAAGTTTTTTTTTTGTTTTTTTTTCTATTATAAAGCTGTGTGATAAAAGCTGAGTTTTACCGAGTTTTAGTAAAATATACTGCTCTGGACGGCCCCCGATCCCCTTAAATCCGCCGCTGATGTTACTTATACTATTTAAATGTTTTTTATTTATGGCTAAATTTGAATATGTTATGTGGATAAATTGTTTCTTACAAGTCATCCACAAAAACAATTTTTTGCTATCTATTATACAAACCAATTAATAAGTAATTCGACAAAAGTTGCTTTTAACAATTATTTTAAACGTACAAACCAGGTGAGCAAAGACAAAAGTTCAGTTACGTGTGTGAAGTTTTTGGATGAGAGCCACATCATAACCGCATCATTAGATCTGATGCTTCAAATTTGGAAGGTTGTTAAGAAAGGAGCTGTTAATTTAGAGTAGGTCTTCCTGTTTATTATTTTGTTGAATGTTCTTCATTCTTGGCATCGCATGATAAACGGTTTACTCCCTTTCAACATTATCTTCGCTTTAGATTAATTTTTCAATCAGAACAAAATCGTAATAAAAGCAGAATATTGTAATGAAATGTTCTTCCTTCCTTGCTTGTTTTCCTTCAAAAATTTGTTTTCAAGTTTTTTATATTTTGTGTTCACTAAAATTTTAACGTAATTTAGAAAGATCTTTTATTCGGTTTATATATTCGTAAAAAACACAACACACATAAAATTTGTACATACATGCAGGCAAGAAAATAAAACCTCTTGTTCTAGGCCATCTGTTGCTTTAAATTATGAGTTAAAGTTTAAAAGAATTATAATTTTAAGTAAGTTAGTTTAAATTATTTAGTATAGGTACTTAGTTTTTATGTGACAAATTTTTTATTTGTGCACATCTACAACTGAGTTTATTTTTCATAATATTTTTTGTATAATTTTAATCCAAACCTTAAATACATATTTCAAGTGGGTGGGTAACAGCTTTTAACCGTTCTAAACAATGATTATTAACTATTTTTAACAAATTGTTAAGCGCATATATTTAGTTACAACTCAAATAGAATGCAGGGTCAGTTTATCTTTACAATTTTGAAAGGTCGTACCACCTCTGGCAGCGGCCGTGTATCAACTACCTGCCTGCCGATTGTCACAATAGTAACTGCAGTCAGGAAGTTTGTTAGGAAGAGTGTATTATAGTTCATGCTATTGAAACTTAAAGGATCAACTACTGATTGAAGGTAATGAACGAAGGAAGCGAAGAAGAAGATTCTGTTTATACACAGTCAAGGACGTAAAGATATGTTCATAGAAATATGTAAAGATATGGACACATAATTATTTGCTGTTTTCTGTTTAGTTCAGTCCACCGAGGTTGTTAAACAACAATTTAAATTATTAATCTCTACGAATAACGTGACAAGATTTTATTTGATAAGTAAATGAACCAAAATAATAGCATCAATCGGATGGTCCAAGTGATAAAATCGTAATCGTTCCCGCTTCAAATCATTTTGCATATGTAGCGATTAAACGCGAGCGTAGATGCGTATTTACAAATGTGCACATATTTGTTCATTCATTAATACATGCATTCATTCATTCATTCACACACACATTATATATATTTATTTATTTATTATTTGTGAATGTGTAGGTATAGATCTTTTTTTACGCAGATTTTTTTGTTCAAAAAACTCTTACGCATGATTTCATTTATTTCATTACCTGGCTGTTTAGAAAGCATTTTGTTTTTGTTGGATACATGCCCGTTAAAACTTCAACATTTCAGGTTAGTTTCACGTTTCAAATTGAATGAAGTGGCTACAGGCTTGGAAGTTTGTTCTGAGAAAATGTTTATAATCATCGTTTTGTTGTCTGGATCGGTCATTGTGAAATGTTACCAGCCAAATAAACAGTTTTCGCAAACTCAATCAGTATACAAGTTAATTGCTTTTGTTTTTTTCAGCAAGTAATGTCATGTCAATCGCTTATAACTATTAATTTAGTTTAACTTTAAATAATTAATTTTTTAATTTATGCTATTTATTTCCTACTACTGTAAAGCACAGTATTTTTTCTAAACATGAATATTAAAGAACGGCTAACATTGAACATATCGCTGATGACTGAAACTTTTAACTCCAGTCAAAAACATATCATCAGTAATAATATGTTAAATCGAGCAAAGGCGTTTTTGAACAAAACAACGTTGTGTACGGTCGTCAATTCATTTATACATTCAATGTTTTTGAAGCCATTAAGATAAAGAAAGTCACATCGTTTCAATATCTAGGGGATGTTCTAGATTGTACTGGAACAGCTGAATTTGCCGTTCGAGCACGCATACGTGCAGCCTGGAATAAATGGCATCTTCTTGCCTCTATATTGATGCGGCGTGACATTCCACTACCACTACGATCAAGACTTTATAAATCTGTGATACGTCCGGTCTTGTTATATGGCGCAGAAACATGGACAATGACAACCAAACTGGAACAACAACTTCAACGAACCAACATGAAAATGTTCCGATGGATGCAACGAATTAGTCTGAAGAACCATATCAAATCTACCGAATTCCTGCATCGTGCTGGTTTATATGATATAAAGGACGAATGCCGGCAACACCGTCTGCGGTGGTTTGGTCATGTCAAACGAAGTGGAAACAGTGCCATAACTTCTCTTGCAGATGTTGAAGTACCTGGCACACGTCCCAAAGGCCGTCCAACGAAGTCCTGGTCGCAAACAATCGAGCAAGACATGAAAGCTCTAAATTTAAATAAAATGGATACAACTGATCATCTAATTTGGCGCAAAGGGTTGATGGCAAGGAAAATGACGTCCTATCTTGGGGAATTGGGTCTCTGGACGCTAAACGAAAATTGATTGATTAATTGAATTTTCATAGAGAGAAAGAGAGAGAGAGAGAGAGAGAGAGAGAGAGAGAGAGAGAGGAAAAGAAAGACTTTTTTAATTTTTTGGTTCATACGTTTGTTTGTTTGTGCGTGCCTGTTAGGTGTTTAAATTGAATATGGATGTATAATCCTCTGTAATCTATTTAACCATTGACGCCGATGGCGTTCATTATTCTTTTAGGAATGTGAAATCTTTTTGTATTTTTTGTCAATTTTTCGGAATCCAGCATTTACAATCAGTCTATTCTGTAACACTGTCTTTGGCAAGTTTTGCAACTTTTTCTCAGTTTTTTTTCACATCAGCACATTAATCCATTAATCGGCTTTTTGGAAATTTATTCAAAAAGTCCATGTTTTAGTTGACAGTTTTTTTATTCATCAGAGCTTTAAGCGTTTATTTTATTTGTTTTTATCTGTAAATTTGTAGATGAATGTTCAATTTACTGTCAACCTCTTTTTAATCTGTTCGTTTTCTGCGATGAAGTTTTTTTCTTTGTTAATAATATCTTTGACCTGTTTGTTTTTTTAAGTTGTTTTACAGAGTGATAAGCCTCTCTTGTTTTATTTTGTCAGATCAAAACGTCTACTTTTTTCATTTATTTTTTACATAATACCTATCATTTCTATTCATTACCCCTGTTCGACTCAAACACTTTGCTTGAAACAAAGATTCTTGAACTTTATCTCTTACATTTTATACTTTATGTTACTTTTTCTCTTTTTGACAATCAAATTTATTCTCTCTTTTATAAGTTTCAATGTTTCATCAGTTACTCACAGTTTTTTAATCATTTTTTGGAATTACGAATTTCACTTGCTGCTTTGAGAGCAGTTTATAGAGTGTTAACTCTTGTTTCCATGTCATAAAGAAGTTGTAGGTTCTAATTTATTTCTTATTTCACTTTTTACTCTTCCAATTTTCTCTTCATCACGTCTCTGTTTTATCTTTCTGTTCTTATTCTTTCAACCGCTTCTGGTATATTTGTTTCATCTGCGTTTATGATAATGCACTGCACACAGCATTAGTCTGACCTTAAGCCTGTGTTTGGTATAGCTCTGCATTGCGACAAATTTCATACATTTCTGTTCAGTTGACACCAAATTTATCACGTTCATCGTTTATTCATCTGTTGATTCACACCTGGTGTGAATTTCTGTAATCTTTCCTCTCTCTTTTTCTGTTTCTAAGGCCGTATTTTTTCGTCAAATTTTTTCTAGTAATGCTTCTATTATTTTTTTAAGTGCTATTGAAGCAATTTTTATAATTAGTTTTCTTAACTTACTTTCCTACATTTCAGTCTGAGCAGATGGACTGGGAAGAAGGCGTATTTAACTTGTAGCTCGATAGATTTTCAACAAAATTCAACGCACCTGACGGTCGGAGGGATGTCGAACTTTTCTTACAAGTGCACGTTTAATGATTCACTCGATGATAAGGTTTGCAAATATTTTTCATCACTTTCAACCATTTTTATTTTTTGATTAAACGCCGAAAACTTGTTTAACACTATCAGAAATATAAAGTATAACAGATTACAATATTCCAACAAAATAGACAACAATTAAAGCAATAAAATTAAAGTTTCGTTAAAATAAGTGATCAAGTGTTAACATTTTTAAAATGTTAACAGACAAAACATCAAAACAGTAAAAAAGCTGTTTAAATCGAAAATAATTTCTTGTTTCACATAAAATATAATAAATAAAAAGCTACGCTTTTTGACAGTTATGTTCCCTCGTTATCATCATGAACATTCAAATTATAATTCTAATGCAGAACCTTTCCAATACCCGAACTTGCCAATTAGCTTGATTGCATTGTGCGTGAAATGTTGATTCACGTCTGTTATTTTTTCATTACAGTGGTTATTTTTTTATAGAAGATATGTTTTAAGTACTTTTTTCTCATGTACAAGTACTCAGATCCCAAGTGCAAGTACTCAGATCTCAAGCACAAGTACTCAGATCTCAAGTACAAGTACTGAAAATTAAATTTTTCCATGCACTTACTTCTTAAGTACGAGTACTTTTGTTTCAAATGCAAAAAAAAATCTAAATAAACAAACATAAATTGACCAAGAAAATCAAAAACTTGTATTTTAAATCAATAAAAAATTCAATCAGCATTTTATATAGTTATAACCGTCACAAATATATTTGCTAGAGCCATTGTTAGTGTCGAAAGCGATATTTGATGTTTGACTCTGCGTTGAAAGTGTTATTGTATTTGCGATATATTAAATTAAAAATTAAATTTTTCCATGCACTTACTTCTTAAGTATAAGTACTTTTGTTTCAAAAGCAAAAAAATCTAAATAAACTAACATAAATTGACCAAGAAAGTCACAAACTTTTATTTCAAATTAATAATAAATTCAATCAGCATTTTATATAGTTATAACCGTCACAGATATATTTGCTAGAGCCATTGTTAATGTCGAAAGCGATATTTTATGTTTAACTCTACGTTGAAAGTGCTATTGTTATTGCGATAAACGTTAGTGAATTTTGATTCGGCAAGCGATAGTTTCTGAACGTTAATTTGATAGTTTGTGAACATTAACTTTTATTAGTAAAATTAATTAACGTTGATTATTAATAATTGATTAACATTGATAATTAATTTGTAAATAAATAAAACAAATGGTGTCTCTCTCATTGGAGTTACAAGTTGTTCTGGAATGGCCAAAAGACAGCCCAAATTGGAGTGGGAATCTTCATACGGGAATCACTGGCACAAAGTGTACTGGAGGAAACTCGAATCAGCTCACGCCTAATGCTGATTAAACTCAGAATGGGAAAACAGATTCTGATTGTTTTCTCTGCATATGCCTCACAGACCGGTGAATCTGAAGACGCCAAAAATGACTTCTGGAACACACTCTCAGATGCCGTCAGGAAAACACCATCATCAGAGATACCATTGGTATGTGGCGACCTCAACGGCCATGTTGGAGAGAAAACAAATGGCTTCCACGGTGTCTATGGAGGCTTTGGCTACAGGTCTCAAAACGAAGACTGTGTACAGATTCTGGAATTTGCTGAAAAAGCCATGAACTCTCCCTGTTGAGCACCTACTTCAAAAAGAGAGCAGAACATTTGATCACATATAAAAACGGGATGTCATGCACACAACTTGACTTTGTTGTCGTCAGACAATAACACAGACGACTATTCAGGAATGCCAAAGTCATTCCAGGCGAAGCATGCATTCCTCAACATCGATTGCTGGTGGCCGATATGATCATGGAACAATCACGCCCTGTGACTGATCGAATGCCTACTAGAATTAAGACATGGAAACTGAAGAACCCCATGTTCAGAGAGAAATTGGATGGGTTGGTATCGGCACAGCTGGATAGTCTGGAGAAGATAGACATAACATGGAAATCTTTTCCGAACACCCTAATGAACGTTGCAACAGTTGTATATGGAAAATCTGAACCAAAGCGCCAGCACAACCAAAAAACTTGGTGGTGGAACGAGACGGTGCAAAATGCTATCGCCAGTAGAAAAGCAGTTTTCAAACTATGGCCAAAAACGAAGACTGATGAAGATAGAAAGACATACCGATCAAAGAACACCGAAGCAAAATGTCAGGTTGCGATAGCTCGTGCAAATCAATGCAAGGTATGGCTGACTGGAAGGCGAACAAATTCGGTCACTCCACCGAATAGCAATGAATCAGGCCAAAAGACTGAAAAAGGATATAGTTGGTGCCACATGCATAAAGAATAATAAAGGCACCATAATAACCTTGCAGAATGAAGTGAAGGATCACTGGAAGGATTACTTCGATCAGTTATTGAATGAAACAAGCCTATTGGAGTGGACTTTGATGCACTTCCGGTGGAAGGACCGATTCAGGGTATCACAGCTGAGGAGCTTACGGATGCGCTGAAGGCAATGAAAAAGGGTAAAGCGGCTGTTTCGTCTGGACTTACAAATGATATCATCAAGGCATCTGGTGGAGCAGGCTTCCGAGCCCTCTTACACGACTGTTGGGAGATGTGGAATAAATCGATACTACCAGTGGAATGGAAAAGTAGCACAACTGTGCCGATATATAAAGGAAAAGGAGACCCACTGAAATGCTCCTCATATCGGGGTATACGTCTTCTTGAACACCTCCTGAAAGTTATTGAAAAAGTCATTGAGAGAAGACTGTTGTCGTGCGTTTCAATAGGTGGTTACCAGTACGGCTTCATGGCAGGGAGATCCACCATTGATCCCGTCTATATCATTTGTCAACTTCAGAAAAAATACTTGGCAAAGCAAAAGCGACTGTTCCATGTATTTGTGGACTAGGAAAAGGCTTTTGACAGAGTACCTCGTTAGGCAATCAGGTAGAGTCTACGTAAATAGCTTGTCTCAGAATATCTGTTTCGGCTGGTTATGGCAACGTACTCTAACACAAAAACTCGGGTCAACACAACAGCCGGTAACACGAATGAATTTGACATTAACGTCGGCGTCTATCAGGGATCAATACTCAGCCCCTGCTCTTCATCACGGTGATGGAAGAAATAACCAAACCGATACGCTCGGATGACATATGGAATGTGATATATGCAGATGATATCGTCCTGACGGCGGCCTCGGAACAAGACGCAGCCAGAAAGTTTTAGGTCTGGAATACCCAGCTCGCCGAACACGGGCTAAAGGTAAACCTTGGCGAAACAAAAACTATGATCACCGGTGGTACCGCTGAGCCTGTGGTTTCTGGTCATTGGTCAAGTTCGGTGTGTGGGGCTGGAGTTGGAAGCAACTCGATCAAATGCATACGATGTCAGCAGTGGTGTCACAGACGATGCTCGAGAATTACCGGCTCACTGAGAAAAGTGACTGATTTCGTATGCCCCGCCTGCATCAACCCGCGACAACTGAGCCCAGATGATGATACGATTACCGGGATCGAAACTGTTATTTCATTTCAGTATTCACTACTTGGGAGGTGTGCTTGATTATACTGGAACAGCTGATGCCGCCGTTCGTGGACGCATACGTGCGGCGTGAGAAAAATGGCGCCTCCCTACCTCGGTACTGATGTGGCTAGCATTCCTCTACCTCTGCGCTCAGAGCTATATATCACAGCTATACGTTCAGTTCTGATGTATGGTGCAGAGACGTGGCCTATGACAACCAAACTCGAGGATCTGTAATGTGCAGGTTGAAGGATGCATATAGTCGTCATCGCTTACGATGGTTTGGCCATGCGAAGCAAGGCGAAAACGATACAATAATTTCCGTTACTGAGCACCAGGTGCCTGGCACCCGCCCAAGAGGTCGCCCAAAGAAGTCCTGGATGCAGACCAGACAGGAGGACTTGAAGGCATTTTGTCTCAAGGAGATAGACGCAATGGATAGATTGGCATGGAGACAGAAGCTGATGAATGGAATAAAAAAGTCCGACTCATAACGGATGGAGACTATAAACCAGGATTGACTGAAATAAATAAAACGATAGTTTAAAAGTTATTTCCTGTCGCTGTTTTTCAATGGGATGAAATGAACCCGTCGTCGACCGGCCAGTTATAACAATATTATAACGTATGAATATAGTTTCATTGGCTTGCCCACACTAGCCTCAAACCTCGTTATATTACATCCCGATCACTAAGCTAATGTATTAACTTTAATTTACTACGAATTAAATTAATATCTTAACGTCGGTTTCCGTAAAAACAACTTTTTCAACCATACTGCTTGTGGTCGTAATTTTGGTGAATTTAAAAGTAATTAAAATACAATCAAGATAATCGCATCTTTTAAGTGATGTAATCGTAATTCCTCACGCTTCAAATCATTTCACTTACATACAAAACGTTCATAGGTTAATATACTCTTATATGTACACACGTAAATAAATGAATGTATAATGTGTAAATGTAGACAGACATGCATTTAAAACAAATGAACACAGAAACATGCATTGTATTTTAAATTTTTGATGACTAAAATCCGATCCAAATTTTGGTCTGTCCGAATTAAAAATATGGTTAAAATCTCTAAATAAAATATTAGTTTCTTTACAATTAACTAATATTTATGTAAATTGTACGTTGTACTTGTAAGTGTTGATATGTAAGTAAAGAAAAGTACGAAGTAAAAATGCATTTACAAATTGTATGTGCAAGTATTTAGAAATCACATTGCAAGTACCTAAAATAAGTACTCGAGTACAAGTACCACATCACTGCGTTATAGTTAGATATGTTTATTTTCAAACATTCATTTGAAAATCTCTATTTGTATATAAAATGATTTCATTGTCAAGAACTCATCCAATAAACAAACAACGAAACAGAAAAGAAAATTATTTCGGATAACGAGGAGCAAGCACTTTCCGACTTCTTTACTTTCAATCCAATTTTTTTTGAACACTTTATGACTCACTTTGAATTTTTTAATTAACTTTCGCATATTTGCACATCTGAAGTTTTAATCATTTCATACATACGAAGTTTTTATTTTCTTATTACATTCAAAAGGATGTTTAATTTCAGAAGGGTAATTATCCGAAAGAAAGCTCAATAACTGTGAGAAAACAAGAAGCTGCAGGACCGTGTGAACTTGTGACGTGCGTATTCGAGGATGGCATCGATTCAGTCATTTATCAAGCCAACGATTTTGGAGAGCTGCTACTTTTTGATTCATCTCATCCTCACAATGACTCCATACTGCTTAAAAAAATCAGAGTAAGTGCCTTTTTCAAAAAAAATTTAAACTATACTTTTGAATGTTGTAATAAAAATAATTTTAATACTTAAGTGAAATGATTAGATAAAGAAAAAGAGAAGCTTCGGTACTTTTGTTAATTTTTTCGACATTTGATACTATTCGCAGAATCTTTCTTGTAATTTACCAAAAATATTTTTCTAACTGTCAATGAGGAAAAAAACTTTGGTTAATCACTAAACAATATCATCAATATGATGCAATCGAAATCGTTAAATACAAGTAGTTTTAAGCGCGTTAAATTATTATTCTCGTTATTATTATTTTATTTATGTTATCCATGAATCTTAGTTATTTATAAATCATTTCAATTATATATATATATATATATATATATATATATATATATATATATATATATATATATATATATATATTATAAAAGTAATTATATTACTCTTAAAATTATTCAATCGCAACTTTTACTGTAAGAATAGAATCTGTTTATGAAATTTTTACTGGATCAGATTCATGAAGGGAAAATAACGTCAATGATCCAGCTCGGTAAGAATTTGTTCACTTCTTCATTGGATCAGAAGATAAAAGTCTGGAGCCTGCCACATTTCAAGCAGGTTAGTTTCATTAAAATTATGATCATCTAATTCTCAGAGAACAAGGATTTCAATATTTCAGAATGATTTTTTTTCTACCAAGACTTGATAGATTTTGAAAAAATGAGACATTAACATACATGGCTCGCGGTCGTAGGTTTGACCAGTTGAACATCATTCTACGATCTACTTATGCTTGAACAACAGCAGCGAATTTAAGCACCGATACAACAGGCACCGACCTGGGGCGGCAAATTTTGAAGTCTATGTGGACTTAAAATTTGTTCAACGTCCGTGTTTTTCGATGTAGATTTTCATTCAAACTAATGTGTAATTTCAAATAAATATTTTTCTATCAAGATTGGTGCAAATGCAGCTGAATTCTGTGCAGAAGCTTGTAATTTATTGGTTGGTGCAGCATGTATAAAATTTTTTTAGTGCTTCTACTGCCAAGCGAGAAATTTTTCAAAACCAAAAAAGGATTTGAAGTCTTTTTCTCCATTACACAGTGGTTTGTTCGCGATGATGCAGGGAGCGTTTGAGTATTGCTGGAATCAGGTTATCGAGTCACTGCAATTCATAGACAAATATTTAAACTAAAAACTCGTGCTAAGGCTGAAAGAATTATTTAGAACGGCATGATGGCCTAGTAGTTGAAGGCTCTTGCCTGGTCATGATTTGCAGTGCGTGCAGTGACTGGATTCGAATATGAGAAAAGGATCCCCGCTCTGTGTGTTTTTGATTTTTCTGGACTTATTTATTATTGCTTATTTGAGCTTTCTCAAAACCGGAATCATTTTAGAACTATGGGAGTGCGTTTTGGAATGTTTGCGTTATGTATCTGAATAAATGTAACGCCAAACTTCGAAAAATGAACTTGTGAATATGTCAGAAAAAGTTGGCAACTAGGAAAAAGACCCTGTCGTTAGTTGATGGCTACAAGGTGCAACCAGTAAGAAAGCAAGAGTGGCATTGCGATGAATCAGCAAACAACGAGATGAAATTTGGCACTTGGGAAAACTTGTGTAAATACATTTTTAGTAACTGTAGATAATTTGCTTTTTGAAATGAATAAGTGACAAAACGCATACGTAGAAATTATTGAAAAATTTAAAGCTATTTTACAGTTGAAAAAATTGTTGATACTGGTGTTAGAAATTGCGGTGGATGAATTAAAATCTTTATTTCCAAACGATCCAGACGACATCTTAAGTTCTGAATGGTTGCACTTAAAGTCTTATTTAGCCAAATTAAATCGAAATTCAGTTCCAAATAATTCAGCCGATTCATGTCAGTGGATGAAAGAGAATGGGTTGCAGACCATATATCAAAAGTAGACATTGCGCTCCAGGTGTACGCTTTTACTCCCGATGCATTAAAAAACATTTCGAACTATATTGCAACATTATTGCCTGGCAAAATGACAATGTGAAGCTTATATTAATATATATTATTCCGTAATTAATTAATTAATTAATTAATTAATATTGTTCTTTCTAATTATTTAAGTCTGCTAACAATACATCGTATGGCATATCTTAAAATACGTCTACCTTGAAAAATTAAGCTCGCTAGGTGTATCAGAAGTTAGTTAAGATTTGCAAGAACTTAGGGCTATTTAAAGAAGACTAAGAATAAACAACTTGAAATGTAAAATTTGATATTAAAAGAGCAACAACACTGACAATTTTGTTTTTAAGTGATTGTTTTTAAGTAACTTGCTCCAAATTATTGGAGTCCAATCCAATGTATTTATAAAAACATTTTTTTTAAACAGATAGGCGAAATTTCTTGTCCTTCGTCTGTCACATGTATGACCGTGCTTAAAAGAAATCTAAGTGAAAACACTATATTGCTGTGTGGTACTAAATCTGGAAGTGTTCTTTTTTTGCAATGGGTTGCATAAATTTTTTAAAGCCTTTTTTAAAATTACGTTTTCCTACTTTTAAGAAAATTAAAATTTCTTTTGGAACCGGTGAAATATTGTTGAAATTCTTAATATCGATTTATGCTTCTTGAAACATAACATTGCAAAATTTAACTAAAAAAGAGATTTGCTTGTAACGATTTATTTATTTTATCATGACCTAAAAAGATATGTTTCTTTTGATGGCTTTTTTCTCAAAATTTTTGTTTATTGGGCGGCGCGATAGCGTAATGGTTAAAGTGCCTGGCATTGTTGATACAATGTCCGGGTTCGAATGCAAAAAGATCCCCGCCTATCACATGGAAAAGTGTGTGATGCGTTGATTCACGTGTAATTATGCACCGTGTGTTTGTTGTAATAATGATAATGCGCCTCAGTCGCTTGCCATGGCGCTATATAAAATGACATTATTATTGTTTTTAGCGACAAACAACTTATCAGTCACAAAGCAGGCATGAGCCACAGAATCCTTGTCAGTATAGGCGCGTTAAAGCATCATTTAATATGCAAAACTTCTTGTTTCGATAAATTTTCTATCTTAAGTGAATAGTATGGTGGCACCAGGATGATAAAAAAAAGACGGCCCAGCTTTGTGCAACCAGTAAGAAATGTTGCAGTGGGGGGTTGGCTTTGTGGTATTCAAGGGGAGGTCATCGCGTATAACAGCGACTCAACATTCGTTTGTCTGAACCAACTTGGCACTCTCACTAACAAGTTGTTCACCAACTTGGTGTTTTTTTCAAAATTGTCACGCTAAAATGAGCATGAACTAGAACCAATTCGTTTAAAAAAATAAACTTTTGTCTGCAGAAAACTTTTTGGTTTCGGAATTTAGTAACAATAAAACGAAATAAAATATTTGCCTTGTATTGCTTATTTCAAGATTCTTTGAAAGTTGTTTCGTGTTGATAACGAAAAATCTCGATTGATAACGAGAATTAAGATTTAAATGTCTTATATTTTGTGTGGAGCAAAAGTCTAATAAGGGAGTCGGCGACACAATAAATTTGTTTGATTGTTAGTTTGTTATAGAATTATTGGTACGAAATGAAAATGAAATAAACAAGAAAGTGAAGAAACAAAACAAAGTACAATAATGGGAGTTAACACCAATTTTTAAAAGTTTAAAAAAAATTTCCTATTAGGCGTATTGAAAATTTTCAAATTTTGTACTCACTAGCAGCTAATGAATTTAATAAAAGCCTCAAATAAATGAATGTACTTTATTCGCCAAACCTTTGTAGATGGTTACCAGACACCTCATCATACGAGACAATTTGTCATTAAAACATTTCATCATTGCACATTTCAACATTATAGCAATTCATCACCATAAAATTTCATCACTATTGTGATCTTAAGGTCACAAGATCTTATGTGATCTTATGATCACAGAAAAACTGGCTTCGCAAAGAAAGATCAGATTATGATCTGATATGCCCTCGGTGCAGAGCAGTAGACTAATTGCTATAGTATTCTTAGCTATAGCAATTAATCTAGACAATTAATTTTTAATTTAAAAGTAAAAGTTAATTTAGATGCTTTGGTCACTGTGGCACATTTTTTTACTGGGTAAGTAGTTGCCCATGTAAATTATGAAACGATCGCCAATATAAATTCAAAGGGTAAATTGCTAAGCACAAGGCAACAGAAGAATAAATAAATGTATTGATATTGAATATTAATAAATAAACTTCACCATTATATTTTCATATTTTCAAGATTAAATTTTTTTTTCATAAAATAAGAAAAATTAGTAAATAGTTTCAAAAATAAAATAAGCACGAATCGCTTTCACTCATTTATGTAATTCATTGTACGGTTTAAATGCACTTTATGCATTGATGAAATGTTATGGTGATGCTATAATGATGGAATGTTGCAATGATGAAATTTCTCGTATGGTGAGATGACGGAGAGCGTCCCCATATTCATTGTGTTAGTGAACTATATAGCTATTAAAATGCTAAAAAAACTGTGACTATGAGACTTTTCGTTCTAGAAGTTTGCTGAATTAACGGTAACAAAGTTACTAATAAAGAAACAAAGAAACTACTAATAAAGAGAAAACACGGAGCCAATAAATTAGGAATGCACAGATATGAGTATATATAAGATACAAATCTTTTTTCTGTATAAGATAAAAATGAATAAAAAAAGTATATTAAAACTTTGTTTTCTATATTTAAAAACAATGATAAAAAATACGATATGAAAAATTGAACCAGAAACTGATCAAAGCTGAAAATGCAGTGATATTTCTTAACAATTGTATCTACGACAGTCTCAACCCTAATTATGTACATATATATTATTGGTAAATAAACCATTACCCGTACGCTTCGTTTCACGAGACTCGTCAGTAGCCTGTCGAATAAGGTTTAAGATAACACAATTAATATTAATGTAACCAAGAAACGCAAATTGAAGTGTCGTGACCAATAGATAAGAACAACGCGTTGCCACAAGGTTTAAGAACCCATTCATGGGCGGACCTAGACAACTTTGACAGGGAGCCAAAACTGGGATATTAAGGTTACATACTACAAAATTAATTCAAGTCTAGTCGGGTAATGACTGGTACGCATTAACATTAACCCAAAAAATGTTTTTATTCAGCTTATTGCTAATTTTTTTAGTTGAAATTACAAAATTATTTCATATGCAATTATATTATTGAAATATCAAATCTAGGTATTACTATTACCAGATTAACTGTATTGAGATCACACTGCTTCTGTTTTTTGCCGAATTATTTTTATTTTTTGCCGCAAAACACTATTTAAATTTAAAATATGAATCATATTCTGAAATAAACTTGTATCAAATTTATATAATAAATCAGCGTTATTTTTTGTTGTTAAAAAGAGTCGATCTCAAAATTTTTTTTATTATTTAACGCTGTCTTGAATTGATCTTATGATAACGGGGGGGCCATGGCCATATATAAAAATTTGTGTGCATGTTTGAAAGAAAAGCTTTTTTCGAAAATTCATATTTCCATTATATTATTATATATTTCCATTATATTATTATCTCAATCTAAATTATTTCCTAAGTATTTATCAGATATATTAATTGAACCTAAACGCCCCGGTTTACGATCGTCTTCTTCTCGCTTTTTCTTAACTCGTGTTAAACACTCTTTTGCCAAATCTGCTTTTGCTTTTTCTGGTCCTTTTCTCTGGAACTCTCTACCTACTTCTCTGACTACTTCTCCATCACTTGCGAAGTTCAGAGCGGATCTCAAGACCCATCTGTTTTCAAAATTCATTGAGCAGCGCTGTTGAACATCGCGGAAATAGCGCTTTATAAGCTAATTGATTGATTATCAATGTTAATTTTCGTGTTGTTTATGTCTTTATAAAAGTTAGTGGCACTTCGTACCTATGTTGATAAAGTTTTTACGATTTTTTTGTATCTCTCTGCGTGAATTAAAGTTTTTTTTATGAGTTCTTTGTTCTCCTTGTGTGTCGTCTTGGTAAAGTAGATTTCTAATTTTATGGGATGGTAGAACGCCAGTGGCCCTTTGTACTGTACTAAAATACCAGATTCAGTACTAGATAGAAATTACCAAAAATCTGAATATGTCTTAGTCACTTACACCAAACTATCAAGAAGATTTACTATACACGATCAATCTGGTGCTATCAAAAACCACCTGAAAGACAAACACAAAACAAAACCCACTAGAGACATCCTCGATAACAACAATGAAGTCCTACATTATAATAATAACAAGCAAAGAACTACGAATTGCAGAATTTCTTTTGATTGAAAAAAGACATCCCATTTTAACCTAAACGCCCCGGTTTACGATCGTCTTCTTTTTCTCGCTTTTTCTTAACTCGTGTTAAACACTCTTTTGCCAAATCTGCTTTTGCTTTTTCTGGTCCTTTTCTTTGGAACTCTCTACCTACTTCTCTGACTACTTCTCCATCACTTGCGAAGTTCAGAGCGGATCTCAAGACCCATCTGTTTTCAAAATTCATTGAGCAGCGCTGTTGAACATCGCGGAAATAGCGCTTTATAAGCTAATTGATTGATTATAAATATTCAACAAAGAGCCACTGGCTTTCTACCATGAGTTTAGTCAAAGTCAAAGGCCATTTAAATATGAAGTTAATTAAATTAAACGTGGCAACGGCCTAAAACATAAGATTATCGGTTATAACAATGGTATCAGTGTTACAGTCACCATACAACGATATACGTTTGCCGAAAACAATATGTGGTCGAACACAAAAAATTCTAAAATATATTTTTTATCAGTGATAAAGCCATGTAACGTATATTTTTACCGTTAACAATAAAAAAAACAAAAACAACAATTCACACTAACAATTTTTGTAAAAAAAAAAACGGAAAATGTTCTACAATTTTTGCTCGTATGAGCTGTTGCCTGTATAAGCCAAAAATGAACCGAACTTCAAATAAAAAAAAATTTGTTACATCAATCTCTCATGAAGAAAGTAGATAAGAAAAATATTTTTTTAAAGAGCTACTGGTTTTTTGATCGTTTTTTTGCAATGGCATCTTCAACAGCTTTCAACTGCATTAATAATTCTTCTCTTCTTGATGAAGTGCTTTTCTTGCTTTCAGATGTTGTGGATTGCATTTTTCCATATTTAGCACTAGGTGACTTTCGATTGACATCATCCACAAAACTGGACCTTTGCTGACGAGATGATGCAGGCTGGCGCGATGAACCGCTTGCTGGAAGGTCCTTGTTTTCTACGATAGCATAAATAATAATTAGCGAGACTAATTAAGCAAATATTCAATAATCAATAATAAAAGAAACAAAACAAACATACCGTAAGCCATCTTCATGTGCTTCTCATGAGGTCTCATCTGACTGGGACTTGAGGGGCGTTTTCTTGAAGACGATGACGGCGGTAATTCGTGTTGCTGTTGATTCAATGATTAAAAATTAAATAAAAATATTTTATACGCATATAATAATTATATCGGATTTAAAAACCCGTTCAAACATTTTGAGGACAATAATGCCTTGATGTCTTCAGAAAAAATGATGCGAATTTTTATTTAACAAAGTAAAAGAAGTGAAAGAAAATAATACTGTAGTCTGCACTACATAAAATGAGCTTTAAAGTTTTCTTTTTAATTTTTCAAAATCAGTCTGTTTCAAATAGTTGATTTAAAATGAAAGTACTTGGATTGAAAGAAATGAAAAAAAACAAACAAAATACAAACAAGTCTCACAAATAAACCAAAATCATATTTTTTTAGAACAAAATGAAGCTCAAATTGAAGCTTTAAATAAAATTATTTAATTCACTTGAGCATTCAAAAGAAAGCAGCATGTCATAAAAACGAGCTTATATAAGAGGTTTTCGACAACATCAGCCACCTCAAAAAACTATTTCGGTTCAACTGAAGTATGAACTTGGACATATAATCGATGCTCTAATTCTCTAAACTAATTAAAAAACCCTTGCAAATATCATTTTTCAAAACAAAGTATCAACACATCAAAAATAATGATTATGAAATTTACCCTTTGCGAAGATCTGGTGGGTGCGTTCATTTCTTGGTGCTTGTTTCCTGTCGTAGATTTATTAACTACTCGTCTATATTCTCCCGGAGACTGCCTGCTCCAGTTTGCGTCTAGAACATCTCCCTCCACTTCGCCCTCTCTTTTTTGATACCTCGCATTGACAACCTGGTGGTCCCTGTTGTTGCCGTGTGATTTATCATGACGCTCCCTCGACATCCTGTTCATTACCGGCTGGTTCATCCTTCTGCCTGGCTGTCTTCTCTCATCTTCTCTCTTTTCCTCCTTCTTTGGCAACAATCTTTCACCCATCCTGTGACCCCTAACATCAATTCTAGCGTCCACCATTTGACCAACACGACCTCCTGGCCTGCTGTACATCTTCGGATCAACTCTCGAGTGTTCCATATTTCTGGCGGGATAATCCATAGGATGCACACCTCTCTCTTCCATTCTCGGGTTCCTTCTGTAAGGTGCCCTCATGTCTCCACTTTGGCCAGCCCCTCTACCATCCATATGAAAATCTCTTCTTTCCCCCCGAAATGACCCACCCCTTCCATCTCTGAATCCTCTACCCATTCGCTGATCGGGTGCAAATGGATGCAGCATCTTCTGGACAGGATAGTCCGACGTCCTGAGGTGCGCCATGTGGCTCTGAGCTGGGTTTTCATGAAAATATTCTATTAATACACGATGAAAGAACATGAAAAGTTTAATAATTTTGATATCAGACTTGGACATTACTCAAGTCAACCAACTTTAAATTTTGTTAGTTTCTAAACTTATGGCAAATTAATACATTCAAGTATATTAAATTTTTTAAGAATGTGACGTTTGGTAAATACCAATCTTCTCTATAAATCAAGTTTCAGCTAACAATGTGTGCAAATTGTTTCATTCATATAAAAAAATCTGTCATTCAAACAAAGCCTAATGTGACAAAACAACTTGGTATGGTTCAAAAAATATACTAAAGGCTAATTAGTTTCAACTAATTTTTCACAAAATATCAAAAACTAGGTATAATGAAATGGAAGATAGGTGTTTTAATACCAAAATCACCAAAAATTTAGACAACAATTCATGTTCAGTTTATATTAATAAAACTTGGAAGCCAATGAACTATGAACATTGCAGATGCAACAATATGTTTTGAGGTAATATGTAACAATTGACAAATATGTCAAAATAATAAAAACCTGGGGGCAGCTTGGCTTCGTAATTTTTCTTGTGAGATGTTGAACTGTCACTGCTGATGGGACTGGCCATGTCACTGTACGCATTAGAGTTGCTTGATGATGAACTATGGGAGCTGTGGGAAGACGAGAAGTGGGAAGACAGGGAATCATCACTCGACGCACTCGAACCATGCGATCTGCAATAAAATTATAATTAAGTCGCCATACATTGAAATACAATTAAAATAAATTTCAAATATATTACAGCTATTAGTAAATCATAAATTGTAAGTTTCATTCCACTAAACACCGATTTTACATTCAACGGAATGACGTCTTAATTAATAATGATTTCTCTGTTAAAATTTTGTAGACAAATTTTTAATCAAAATTGCAGTATTTTTTATGAGCTCAACTGATATTGCCTATATGCTTAAAACCTATATGCTATTGATCTTTATGAGCCAAAAAATTTATTATAAGTCTATCTTTTGAAATATAAGTTCTGGCCAGGTGTTATTTGCATTTCCTTGCATGTGTTTGATTGACCGTTTGATTGTATCATATATATCTAGTTGCATTAGACTGATAAATTATTAAACAATACAAATTTCAAACCTAGAACTTTTTTTCTTCTCTGAAGTTTTCTTACCACTGTGAACACTTTTCGGTTTTGACTGAACAGTTGTTGCCGATGGTGGAGCTGAAGACTTTATTGGAATAGGATATCCAACGTTTCCTAAAAAATAAAAAATGTCTATTATGGCTGTTGTTCCTCATCAAATCCAACGCTACTTTCATCAACATTTCATATTTACAAATTTAATGATCAAACACAGAAGTATAAATGTGAGATCCTCAAAGATAAACATTTATGATTAAAACTTTTATGTTCTCCCAGTGTTAATGCTATATTCAATTTAGCTAGTGAAGAAAATTTCAAATTGTTTCAACTCTGGTTCCCCTTTGAAACTTATAAAACTTTAATTCTCCACGCACTTTCAAGCTTTCAAAACTTTTTACTGTAGAAATTTTACTGTAGAAATTTCTCTATTCTACTTTCCTTTTGTTCGATGTAACTTGATAATTTGTAATCAGCAGATTTATCAAATAAAGCTCATTCATTTCTCTTATTCTCCTTATTTCGCATTATTTCCGAAAAGAAATTCCTCATAAAAACAAAATGACCCCCACAAAAACTTACTACAGTGTCGTGAACGTCAGCACAACATCATGGACCGATTCCAAATTCTCATTTATCTCATTTATTTACAATTTGCAATTATAATGACCATAAAAAGTTGCAGTTAGTTTGTTTAATCTGCAACTACAACCTACGACACTAGACACTACTCACATCTACTCACCCCCCTCTTGGATGTTTCAGACCTTGCATGTTGTTGCATTCAATGTTTGACAGAGTTTGATTCACAGAATAAAAAAAATTATGCACAAGATTAAAAAACTGTACAGAAAAAACTTGAGAATAAAACTAGCCTTGAACAATGCCTGACTTGTAGGTAACTCCTCCCGCCGTGGTCACCTGGCCTCCAACCTTATTCAACTCAACGAGCAGATTAGTGTTGTCGGAGGATGTTGGCAACTTACCCAATTTAGATTTACTTTTCATCTGACCATCGTTGTTATCCTCATCCGCATCTTTGAATGCATCTGCCACTGATTTGTTCACAGGTTGCAACTGATTTGTTTTGCTGTTTGAGAGAGATGGCTTTGTGCCTAATGTAATCGACAGTGAGGTCATCGCTGGCCTGGGAGGTTCAGATGACGACGAGGTCACCGTAATCGGAGCTTGGTTTGTCGTGATGCTTGCAGTTCCAGTAAGTTTAGTTACTGTGGTGCTGACGACAGTGGAAGTTTCGTTCATTTCAGCGACGCAAGGTGGCACCACGTTTGATACAAAGCTTTTAGAAATGTCACTGAAAAGTTATACAAACACTTATTTTAGTTTACATTTAATCCCTCAGATTTAAAACTTAATAGGTTTTGTAGTTAAAAAATAAAAAAATTAAAGTAAAAAATTTAATAATTTTAAATAAAATGTTTTAATGTTTAAAAATTACCTTTTGGAATTCAATACAAATTCTATTTTAACTAACTTACGACACTTGTATAATTTTTCAAATATTTATAACTAACACTACAGTAAGTACTTTTTAAACGAAAACATTTTTTTATGTTATTTTTATAGATAAAACAAAAAGTTTTTTTTTTATTTTTTCCACTTTAAATTGGCAAAAGCTGCAAAACAAAGTGATTAATGATGAAATACTATTGGACCTGAAATGAAACATATGTGAGTAGTTTATGGCAATTATAACAAAATAATTGTACTTTGAAAAAGGCTTATAAATTGTGGGAGCACGTATTGAGGTTTTTAAAATTTTAAGTTGCTAAAAATAATAGTAACCTATTCTTTATTGACCTGTCCAGCGATCCCACTGGGACAACTTTCTTCGGGATCGATTTGCTCAACTTGCTTGATGATCTGGACCTTATGTGAAGGAATATTTTTATTATTCTTTATTATTATTAGTATCTATTAATTTTTTATTATTTTCATAAATAATCATTTATCAATGATTTCAAAAACGAGTGGCAACATTCTTTGCACCTTTAATTTCAAATACTTGCATGAAACAAATAACATTGTAGAGCAATACAATTCATGCAACTCAATAATAATAAAATAACGAAAAAAACTATAATAAGAATAAAGTATCACCTCGACGAGAATGATGACCTACTAGACGAATATGAGGAAAAGGACGAGGACCTAGATCTCGACCCTGACTTGGATGAATAGGAGCTGCAACCAAATGAACATTTGATGTTTTATAAACATGATTTCAAATAGCAATTAATTATTCCAATAATAAACAAATTATAAATTATGTCTATGATGTAAAATTTCTCATCTAATTATGCAAGAGGAATACTTTTAGAAGTTAAGATTAATAGTAAAAACAAGCAGCAAGCTTGAATGGTTTCCAACACATCAACAGCTCACAAGTTATTCCTCTTAGTTTATTGCAAATTTTCAACAATTCAAAAATAGTTATTTCAGAAATAGTTAAATAGTTTGCAATTACTTTTACAAATAGCTTTTAGCTTTTTTACAAATTTTTTACAAATAGCTTTTAGAAAAAGTTCTTATGGAAATTGAAAATTATTATTTTTACAGAAATGTAAAATAAAACTGAAAAACGGCTGCACCTAGATGAGAAAGACGAATAACGTCGTTTCGATCGAGATTTCTTTCCACTTCGACTTCTTGAAGACGATGAACGTTTGTTTTTCGGTGATTTTGCCCTTCAAAAAATTAAAAAAATTTACAATTTATTATAAAATCAATAACTATAAAATTGATAATCAATAAAAAGTATTCCAAATTTATCGATTGTTTATTTCTGTTAAATTTAAGCCTTTTTTATTAATTTTTGTTTGCTTAAACTACTGGTATCACAAAAGTATGAAGACAGCCAGAACTCAGAAGCAAGAGCTGATTATTTCTATAAATGTTTGTATTTATCAAACAAAAGAAAATTATATTATGCATAAGAATACATCCACACATAATTCTAGGATTTAAAAGCTCCTTATAATTTACATTAAATATATCTTGAGGCAATTTAATCACTTACTAAAAAAAATTGAAAGTTAATAAACTTTTGAACTTATTAAAAGTGTAAACAAATTTGAAAAGTAAAAAACCTGGACCAGGGATCCTTCCACTCCTCACACTTTCCTCTTCCTTCTCCCGAGTTTGTTGTTCCCTCAGCTGCATGATGTCTCTCTCCTCTACTTACACGCTCACCACCAAGCCGCTGGCTTGCTTCAATCCTGAAAAGGTCGACAATTAGAACTGAGATATTCAAATGCTGAACTTTAAAATAAAAAATGGTAGCTAACCTCAGAGGAGGACTGAATCGTCTGCCCCTTCCTGGATCCTGCATGCAAAAGTTTATTGTGTTGAACAATGAACCATTTCAAATGACTTAGAAATCTATATATAAACCAAAACATCTCAAAAAAGCTTTATTAAACTGATGTATGAAACAACAAGACATTGCATGTCTCCATGAAAACTCTGATGCCAAAAAAAACTTGATAACAATTTCAAACATAATATTGAAGACTAACCATCATCCTGAAATCATGGACAGGATGGAATCCGGGATGCATGTAATCAAGAGGGTGCGCGGGAGGTCGTGGCCACCTCATCTCGTATTCAAATGGATGTCTGTAGAGCCACGGGTCGACGGGGTGGTGCAACATCGGGGGGATGGACAGTGGCATGGGAGGCAGACTTTAAAAATTAAAATATTATCATCAAGCATCCCTTACAACCGTTGTCGTTCTTATTATGAAGCTCTTAATTCAAAGATGTGTGGAGCACAATTTAGATGTGCTTATAATTCGGTACCATTTTTTAATTTCCATTATAAGTTTATTCAAAGTAAAAAACATAGCAATGTTTCCCAGTATCCACGAACAAACCCAACACATCCCTTATCTGTGCTACAGAAGTAAGGGAAAACAATTTTGACAAAATGAATCTCAAATGCACTCGCCATTTTGATTACTTAATGTTTACTTAAACTAGCTGAAAACTTTCAAACAGAAAATGTAACAATTATTATAATTGTCAAATTATTACCACTGAAAAAAATGGCTACCAAATAAATAAAATTATATGATAGTTGTAACGAACCCTGGCAGCGAAGTAGATAATGTCTGATGTAAATCTTCATAGTAAGGATCTCTGTGAGGTGGAGGTGCTAGATGAGAAGAAGTGGCTGGGTGAATCAGTTTATCGGATGCAAGTGGAGATGTTGAAGTTCCCTTCTTATCATCGCCATCTGTTTCCTTTCTCTTGCTTCGAATCTGCATGCACCACAAATGGAAATTATCAATGCTATCAAAAATTACAAAAGTCCTTCAACCTAAAAAAGCTGATTATGTCTGTTAACAAAAATTTTATTAATAGGTAAATACAGGTAGAAATTGTGCTGAATACAGTGCAGTTTAATCAAGTAATTTGGTTTAATTTGTCTAATTAGTTAAAATTGAAAAACTTCTACTTTCCTGATTTCAATTTTACGTCATATCTACCCTTTGCTACAACTAACAACAACTTAAATTCATTCACACAAAGGTTTTACAATTTAAAAAATTAAACTGCAATGTGTTGAAATGATGGTGATTTGTTAAGCCAAGTTATGTCATCTGTCAAACTTGAATGTCACATTTTTTAAATTCAACATGGCACTAGTTAAATAAAAGAAAATAAATGAGCCTACCTCTTTTGCGTGACGCAGACCTCTTTCCCAGGCGGACTCCAAAGCAGACATGCCCTCACCACCACCCACTGCTGCAAACTCGGACTCACTTGCCATCTTTAAATAGCCAGTTATGCATATTATTATTATTGTTGTTGTAATAATTGTTGTTATTATGATTATTGTTATTGCTGTTATTACTATTATTATTATTATTATTATTGTTGTTGTTATGAAAAAGGTAGAGGAAATGAATTTACAACGTTAACATCATTGAAAGTAATTTTGATGTAGACAAACCTCACTCAGTCTTGGAGGTGGCGGCATTCTCTTGCCCAAGCGCTTCATAGATAGCAAAACAAAGAAAAAATAATTTTTATAAAAAAATGTTTAAAATAGTTTTATATTTTTTATATTTAATATTGAGAATGCATTAGCCTGCTAAACAGAAGTACATGGTTATATGGATGCGTGTTGATATATGTTATTGTGTGGACGAGTATATTATTGTGTAGAGGTGTGCATTAACGAATCACAACTATTTGTGTTGGGACATTTTGAGCTGATTGTATATGAAGTTGATGCCTTGAATTCAAACATGACATCAGTTTTCTGAAATTTCAAATTTGTTATATAATATTTTATAGATTTACTGCTTTTAGTTAAATTGAAAAAATTGTACAATCACATGTATAGTTGTGCGGTCATGTGTATCATTGTATGGTCACATGTGTTATTGAAAGAGTGCTTATCGAATGAATAATAATGAATAAAACTTTGAGATAGACATCTCAATGACTTTTCTCAGAGTAATGGGACTTAAAGATACGCATGGAAAGGAGCAACATCAAAATCTTACAGCATGACGTGATTATACATTAATTAAACAAAATGGATAATTCTTAATGGAAGAATGTTTACCTCGTGCATCCAGGGGGGAGGTGGTGGTCCCCTCAAGAGGGGCAACATGCCCGGCAGGTGGGGTGGGGGAGGTTGTGCATACTGATGCTGCTGCTCCAACATTGTGTAATTTCCTGCCAGGTAATAAAACCTTTATTACAAACATATCTGAAATGTTCAGAGTTATTTTATTCATATTGAACATCTTTTTCGTCACTTCTGCCAAAGCAGATTTTAACGGTTAACTTTGACTTCAACTTCATCCTTCAACTCATTTTCATTTCTGACCAAAAAAATCTCTCACTCTGTTCATCCAGCAAACTCCCTGTTTTTAAACTAATTAAAATTTCAGTCTCTTTTGAATCTTCTTTTCTCTGATCCATCCATCTCTATAATCATTTTGGCTGGCCAATTGCACTTTTCTTTCAAGATTTACATTTGAAAATGTGCTTAAGCAATACTCCAGCAACCGTTCTTAGCACATGTCCTACTCAAATTTCTAATAACATCTAATAAAAGCTGCCATGTTAGTTTTGTTAACTCTGTTAGTCTAAAAACTCTCTATTCCATCATTGCACATCACCAGAACATTGCAAGGCATATAATGTAGCAAAAATTAAATAAGTAGTAACCTTTATCATTGACACCAGGATGAAGAAACCTACAATTAATGCCCCATGTACAGCTGCCTCTGCTGAAAAACCTGCACAATGCTCTTGAAAAAGGCTTCTTTGCACCTGGCTCCTTAATTTCACCTTCTTCACAATCATCATCCTATGAAAATTAATTGTAACAAAATATTTTCATTTAATTTGAATTATTTTCAATTTGATTTCACTAAATTAAAATGAAATTTAAATAAAAAAAATCAAGGCTAAACTAAATTTGCTGTAAAAATAATAATTATAAACAACTAGAAGCAGGCAATTAATATCACATACATCAGCTAATTCGCCATCAGATGAGTGAGATCCATCGTCAGCATTCGACTGCTTCTCTGCTCCTTTCATTTCATCATCCACGGCTTTCTGTGGAAATGATAAAAACTTCATTGAAAAAATGTTAAAATACAGCATTGTTTTATAATAAATGCAGGCCTTCGGTACTTGAAATTTAAACTGATTTCAAATAGATTAACTGAAAAAATAACAATAATAGCTTTATTCGCATTTTGCAAAAAAATGACTTGAGACTAAGGGTTTTTAATGATTTAAACAATCTAGTGATCTTATATAAATTTGCGTTAAAAAAAATTTGAGTTCTTAATAATCAATAAATTTTACCGAATTCCCAATCAAAATTTTTTTCACTGGAAATGAAAAAACTTACCAAAAATTTATTGACTCTTTTTTAGATGACAAATTACAAATACATTTATAAATCTATAGTGAAAATTTAAACAAATTGTGATTTGTAAAATTCCTAACATCAGATGTTGTTTTAGCTAAATATGCAATAAATAAACAGACATGTATTGGAGACTGACATTGACTTGCAAGACTAACTTAATGCTCCTATTGCAGCCTTGTAAAAACATAAACTTATTACTAAAAATTGGTAAAACGTGAGATAGGTACTCATAATGTACTTTTGTTTTTTTAATTATCTAGCGCTTGATTATTTATTTATATCAAATTGAAAATAATTTAATACAAGTTAATTCTTAGGTAAGTAATTTAATACAAGTTAATTCTTAGGTAAGTTTTTTAGATCATTACTTGTCAAATATCAATGGCTTATGAGGTGGTTAACATTATTGAAAATTTTAACCACTCCATATTTGTGAAATGATTGAAAATTTTGTTAAAAAGGGAGGCCCTAACCCTAACCCTGTTAACCACTCCATAAACCTTTGATTGTTATCAAAACAGAAATTTACTCATATTTTAACTTATTTTTATTTAATGTTCACTATTTCAACTATTTGACAAGTAATGATCTAAAAAACTTACCTAATTAAATTATTTTCAATTTGATATAAATAAATAATCAAGAGCTAGATAATTCAAAATGGGTGGAGTTAATTTATTAAAAGTACATTATGATTGTTTGTAAACATGGACGATACCATAGGAGTACCTATCTCCCGTTTTACCCTAAAAATTTTCAATTTATTCTACTTAAAAGTAAACATTGACATGACCAAACTTTTCATAACATATATCAATCATTAAATTAACAGTCTTCTAACCTGAACCTCAGAAGTAGACATTTGTTCTTCAATTTTAATTTCTGCTTTATTTTTTTCAATAGAGTCATCAACATCTTCTTCGTAATCTAGTTCACCATGATCATCATTCATTGCACTTTCCTTTGTTGATTCATTATCATCATCATCATCCTTCTTGACTGTTTCATTAAAGTCCAATTTATCTTCACTTTTCAACTCAGAATTTTCATTTTGATTTTCTGTTTCAGGTTCATCTTGTAATGGAGTTTCCGATCGGTCATCCATTTCATCTTCATTGAAGCTTCTGTTTATTGAACTTATGTCATTGATATCATTTTTTTCATCATTCAAATGATCACAATTCTCCTCGTCTTCTTCAGAAACCTCCCCACTATCTGACGAAGAATTATCATCATGATTATCATCATCCGAACAAACCCGGTCATCATCGGCAGCACTTTCACCATTATCCAAACTTTCATTTTTTTCCAATAACATTTTTTCACTGGAGTTTTGAGGAAACTCATCCAGCGAGCTAATGTGATCAACGTCGTCAGCGGCAGGAGAACTTAATGAAGAGTCCGCCATGAAGAAACGGCAAAATTTCGAACGAGCGTTACGACAGACGAAAACAAAATGAAACTGTTTACCTTATACATACATGCATACATGCCTTAACAAAGATCTAAATTGCGACTGTAAAGTGGATTATAAAACATAGATATTAAATATATCCATGTTGTAAAGCCAAACTAAATGTGTTACCATAGACCAATAAATATCCATACACGCCATAAATATGTCAGATGCGCTTCACTTTAACGCAGCTAGTCTTATCGCTTATTTTTGACCAAATTTAATTATTTTATTATTTATACGTAATCATCAGCAAAAATTAAACGCCAAGTAAAAAAAAATTTTTAATTTTGCAATATCAATGCATAAAAATATTGTCAGCCTTAGTTAGCAAACCTGACATCGTAAAATTATTTGAAAAGATCTTTTCTACTTTTATTTTTTTCTTTTTTCTTTCCAAAAACCATTTCTAACTTTGGCCAGTTTTATTGAATTTAGAATACCAACACCAGTCCATTCAATAATGTCATTTATCCATTTTTTTTGCAGATCTACCAATTTTTTTCTTCCAATCTTTTTTTCTCATTAGTACCATCTTAATCAATCTGTCTTCTCTCATTCTACAAATGTGTCCAAAAAATCCCAATTTTCTTTCTCTGACTTTGTCATATATACTTTTTTGTCTTCCAAGTTGATTTTTGATGGTTTCATTTTTTACTTTCTGCCTCCAACTGATTTCCAACAAATTTCGGTAACACTTCCTCTCAAATGCTTCATGTACATGTACATGAGTTTTTCGCTAATCCAGACTGGAGTTTCAGTAATGATTTTGAGTAAGTTTGAACGGACAGAAAAACCAACACCATAAATCTGCAAATTATTTTTTGGTAAACCTCTTTAAACGAATGTATATTTTACCCCCACTTTAACCAGAGATCTTTCATCCAGCGCAGGGGTTTTAGACAGTGCAGCAATGTCGATTTGGTATCTGTCCAGATTGAAAAAAACAAAAGTCATTCCGTTACAGTTTGGTCCAAAAACGTTCGGACAGGACAAAGCAGAATAAAAACACTATGTACACACTGTATCTCATCTTTACCCGTTACGTTATGATTTTGTACGATTAAATAAAATCTCCTCTAGTCCTACGTTCGTCCAAAGTTGTTAGTCCACATCTCTTCAATCTTCCTTCATATGAAAGTTTTGCACAATTGTTAATCATTGAAATAATTGTTTAACTGCTCCGTGGCTTTAACGTCGATCTCCACTATCACGTTTTTTTTTCATTTCTGAGCGGGCCCACTCTATTTTTTCGTTTTTGTTTGTTTCTTACATAATTGTAAAAACTTTTGCTCTTTTTTATATTTTCCGCTAAGTTTTTTTTAAATCTTTAAAGCTTTTTGTTCATTTCTTGGTTTTTTGTAATTTTCAAGTAAATGTCTGAGCATGGAATTTATATATCCTTATTTTCATAAAGTTGATGTTTTTTCCATGCCTTGTTTTTACCTTTCCTTTTGCTTTAAACATTTCTTGTTACCCATGGTCGTTTGTTTTGATAACCTTGTCTAGGAGGAATCATATCTTCCTAAATGTGTTTCATAAAGTTCATAAACGTTTTCCAACTTCTTTCTACTCTAAGCAATTCCACTTGTTTGTTCAACTTTAAACCTTTTATTTTGTCTCTCACCTTTTCATAGTTAGCTTTGAAAATGTTGAAACCACTGCTTTTTTCATTCTTATTTGCTCGTTGCTCAAAAAATATTTTAAATCTTACTATTTGATGATCACTAGTGAAGAAGTGTTCTCCGACATCAACGTCTTTTATCATATGGTCCACTGACGTAATTACGAGATCTAGGATATTTTTACCTCGAGGTGTTTTATCTACCATTTGAATAAGGTGGTTATTTTCCACAAATTCTAAAAATTCTTTATCCCGTGGTTTTGCGCCAACCCGTTTTTGCCGCTCAATATGATAATTCAAATCTCCCGTAATAATGAAGGTGCTTTTGCAGTTTGTTTCCATAAGGTCACGTAATCCTGCATCCATTTCTCTATCAGCATGGGGCGGCCGATGACATACTTCAATCAGTAATTTTTGTGTTTGCAATTTCACACCACACTGACTCCTTGAAGTAATCATTATCAATGTCTTTTCTGAGTTTGACATTCAAGTGTGACTTTATGTACAGATTACTCCGCCTGAGCCATTTCTTTGACAAGGCTGATTTTCTCTATCTTTCCGAAAGAGAACGTAATTTTTTATGGCAAACTCAGGATCATCCATATCTTGTTTTGCCTAAGTTTCTGTTAGTTCTATAATATCTTGGTTTTCTTCTTCGACATATGTTATAAGTTCTTTTTGTTGATGACTGGCTAGGCTTCTCCCATTGGCGTAAAATGTCTTAACAAATTTTAAACTTACGTTTACGCTTTTTTCTTCTTTATTGTTTTCTACATCTCCTTGGTTAACGTTTATTGACAAATTTTTAGTGCTAGTATCATGGATATATGGCATAAGAATTGTTACCTGCCTAATAATTTTGCATAGTTCTATGGAATTAAACACGTAAACATTAAAGATTTTTTGTAGTAATTGACATTTTATCGATATTTTACGATCAAACGTTTTACTATAGACAAATTTTTTAATAAAATGTCAATAAATTGACAAAAAAAGCAATTAGAACGATAATCTTTAAACAACCGGCTAAAAACTGATTGTTTACTTCAATTTAAATTTACTTTTCAACATTTGTTAAATTTTTCTCGATGTTATATATATATATATATGAACAATTTATATATATATATATATATATATATATATAACGCATCTGCCATATCCATATTATACAATCGATGGTTAGTATTCTTATTTCTCCTGGTGTCCCCGTTACCCGATAAATAAATTTCCCCGGCGCGTCATTAATTTCTTTTGTTTCTGCAAGTTCCACCATATTCTTGCACTGACATTTTTCAGATTTTTTCATGTAGTGAAAAACAGTTTTTTGAAAATTTTTCCTCTGCCGTCCTCATTTTCGATAACGCTTCCATAACAGAATTTTTACCGATTTTTTTTTGAATTTAAACAGTAGTGAACTGCTGCCTGATTTGTTTTTGTTCAATCAAAACATTCCTTTTTATATCTTGGTCTTCACACTTTACTTGAAGCACATTAGTACAAAGATCTTTTATGCTCTTTTTATCATCTGTTCTTCTCTCCGTAACCGCTGCACTTTTTTTGAATATGTGAACGATTACATTGTTATTTCTTTTCGCCGATCTTCTTGCACAGTATTTTTTGTTTCTTCCACCTTTCCTGCCAATTTCCCCTCAATGTTTGGCTTCATAGATTTTCCTATCAACATTTTTTTAACAACTTCTGACCATTTCTCCTCTGCCTTTTCTACGTCATCTTACTTTTTTTCTGTCTGCATCTTTTGTAGCAAATCCAGTCTCTTTTCAACCTCAGTCGCTCTTTTATCCCAAGTTATAATATAATATCACCATGTTCATCAATGCATTATGTAGTTCATCGCTCCTCAAATCTATCAAAAATATTCGCCCAACCCTTCCGTCAAATTTTGGAATTTTGGCCTAGGTGTTTATTTCCTGATTGAACACGGATGTCTTCTTTCTTATTTATAAATATTTATTTTGAAGATTAAACAATATTTTCTAACATTTGTTTTATAATATTTAGTTTACTTTACTTACATTTTTTGTGAACTGTGAACATTATGCAAGCTATAAAATGTGTCGTGGTTGGTGATGGGTAAGAAAACTTTTTAAATGTTTTCAATTTAAAAAAATTTATTTATTTAATTTAATAATTTATAAACTATGTATAGCAATGTACTAAAAAATAACTAAATTAATAAAAATAACTTGTTACAGTCATAAAAAATTACAATATATAATTGAATAAGTTGTTTTAAAAATTTTTATTTTATATTTTTATTATTAGTATTAATTATTTAATATATATTTATATTATATATATATATTGTGTGTGGGTGTATTTATTATTCTATTCTATAGAAGAGGTATAGTATAAGGTATAATAACTATACTTACTTTTATGTGACTTGTATCCCTTTTTTCAATTATTAAACATGGACTCATAGTCATAATCAAGGTTGAGGATGACAATAGGATTTAGATTATATACCTGATACCACCCTATCTATCAGATAGGATGGTATAGCATCTGTTATATACATTTATATACTTAATTATATAGTTATATGCACATTTATTGATTTGACATGTTTTCCTTTTTTCAACTATTATTATATACTATATAATAATAATAGTTAATTTTAATTTGATAGTGGTTTTCTCTCTTTATTTAACTGAATAATAAAATTATCATCATAAATAACATCCTAGTGGTGGTAGTAGTGCCTGCAAATTAATGAATAATTAAATGAAATAGTGATTGGGTTGGAATGCAAAAAAATATCAATCTGTAATAGTATTAATAATATGCTTTAGTGCTTAATATGTGTTATGTTTTTTTTGTGGAATAAAATGTAAGTGATTAATTTTTTTCCATGATTTGATTGATTGAGCACAAGTTAATCAGAAATAATAAGTTAAAATCTTAATCTTTAGGAAGTTAAGAATGTGAAATGTTGTCATTATTTTAATATATTTTCATTGATTCAACTATGGCAAACATGACATCTGTTGCCTGCTGTAGTCTACTTTTATAAATTATAAATTATTAAAGTTCAGTTCAAAGAACTAATGCAAATTAATATTATTAAATAAAATTGTTTAGTTGATGGTTATGGATCTAAGCAATTCATTTTATTTAATAAGTCTAAATATTTTTACCAACATTTTTTAAAATGAAATGTTATTATCAACTTTAATAATTTTCCAGAGCTGTTGGTAAGACATGTTTATTGATCAGTTACACCACAAATGCCTTTCCTGGTGAATATATTCCAACTGTGTTAGTCATTCAGATTTATATTTCAAAGATTTTTTTATTTAAAATGGGTTGCTTATTTTGGACTGGTCAGGTCTATATAGTGACAGCAATGGGAATTCTGTTGTTGTTGTTGTTGCCCCATTCTGGGGGACCCCTAGGGCTCGAATCAAGGCCGGAGCCAAACCGCCACTGCAATTGGGTTTCTCCAGAGATCTATTGGTTGTAGTCTTGTGGTGTTTTGTGAACAGCTAAACAATTGTGGTACATCATCTGTATGATTGATGCAGAAAGGACAGATGTTGAGGTTCCCACTGTCGATTCTGTTTTTGTAGCTGTTTAGAAGAATACTATGGCCAGAACGGAGTTGGGTTAGGGTCCGTCTGATTGCTCTGGGAAGTGATTCTTCTGTTGGATCTATTTTTGGTGTAGGGGGAGGCCATCCGTCAAGCAACAACAACGGCGACTGATACGTCTCTGTGGCGGCTTTGATGGTGTTATTGTGTAGTGTTCTTAGAGCGGACTTCAGAGAATCGCTATTTATGGTTGTTGGTAGAACCGCATGAGTTGTTGAAGCCCATTTGGAAAAGAGGGTGGTCTTTATGTTGCGATGAGGGTGTTGTTGCGTGATGATATGATGGCTCAGGTGGCTAGGGTTATGGCATAGGAGTAAGAATTGTGATGCTATTAGCTCCGAATGCTGCCTTACCGTTAACATCTGACATTCTGAATGAAGGTGCCGTTCTGAAACGATCACATGGCAACCTGTAATCAGACGTAGGGCGGCTTTCTGGGAGTGTTGAAGACGTGAGAAACTTGAGTCTGATGTCAGTGATGCCCAGGCAGGACAGGCATACTCGATTGTTGAACGACCGATGGTTTTGTAGGTCTGTAAGAGAGTTTCCTTGTCCTGGCCATAGGTTGTACCATTTAGTGCCTTTAAAATATTTCTTATTGAGGCCTTGGATGCTGTTTCTTTATGGTGTTGTGAGAAGGACAGCATCGTATCTAACGTGAGGCCTAATATTTTTGGGTTATGTTCGAGTGGTAATAAATTGTTATTTATTTTTATTGCAGGATGATAGTAATACTGTGAAGTGTGAGTGGTGAAGAGGGTGACTGTGGACTTGGAGGTGGAAATCTCCAAATTTCTGCTATTGAAGAAGTCGTAAAGCTTCGGAAGGTAACAATTGAACCGAAGTGTCAAATCATCTGCATTCTGACCTGTAGTATAGATTGAAAAATCGTCTGCATAAGAGATAACTTTGACGTCTGGAGGAGGGTTTGGTATTTTGGAGACGTAGTAGTTAAACAGAGTTGGTGACAATACAGAACCTTGAGACACTCCTGAGCGGATGGTGCGTTGTTCTGAAAATTGTCGACGGAACTCTGTTGATGCAGAGCGTCCATGCAGATAGTTTGACAACCAGCGGACAATTGACCGTGGAAGCGATGATGACATGAGGTCGGAGATTAGGATGCGATGGTTAACGGTATCGAAGGCCTTTGTAAGGTCCAATGCTGTTAAGATTCGGTGAGCTGGCCTCTTCTGATTTAGGCCGTTTGCGATGTCGGTGACCATCGTGGTGAGAGCTGTTGTTGTAGAATGAAGTGGGCGAAAACCATGCTGATGGCTCGCTAAGGTTAGATGATTCGAGATGATCGGCGGAAGGCATTTTTCAAATACTTTAGCTGCCAGACAAAGAAGAGATCTGGAGCAACTGCCTTCTCGCAGTGGAGCCGATTGGACCGTCAAATCAGTCGATCCAACAAACAGTTGCAACAAACCATCCCCACCTGGGAATTCTGTTTATATGTATTTTATGATTATATGATTGGTGGAGTGTGTTTTAAGTTTTTATTGGTCTGTGTACGATAGATGATAGAAGCAAATTAATTCTACGTTGTGAATGTGTTGAACGAACAGCCAATGAGTGCTCTAGTGTGGGAGAAGACTGGAGAAAGATGAAAAACTCTGAATGCAGGTTTTTAAGAACCTACAGGACAGAAACCAATGTATAAAGCATAAATACTTTGACGAATGCCAGTTTTATAAAATTTTGTGCTTTCCACTATATGGGTTACGTCTTAAATGGGACTCAAAGGACAGATAGTGAAGTTCCAGGAAGTGTAGAATTAGCTTGGAATAAGTTTTGGAAACTATTTCCATTCATTAGAGAGTTCATTGGAGAGTTCATTGGAGAGTTCATTGAAGATTTCATTAGAGAGTTCATTGGAGAATTCATTGGAGAGTTCATTAGAGTTCATTGGAGAGTTCATTAGAGTTCGTTGGAGAGTTTGCTTGCTTTGCTAAAAGTTGCATTAGCTAATGTTTACATCAGAGGTTGTTTTTTTAATGAAACATGACATTCTTTATGTTGCTATGAACTGAAAAGAGAGAAGATTGGAAAGAATAGAGGTAGATGAATTTTATTATCTTGATGGATAGTTTCGCTAATGAATAGATAAGAAATAGATCTTGATTACAAGAAGTGGAGCTGCTAAAGAAAGTGGGTTAAGCTTGTTTGAAAATATGGACAAAATGAAGAAAAACTGCATAAACAGTACTAAAGTTTTTAAAAGTGACAAAAACAGATCAATGTACGAATCATGATTGAAAACATTTTGGTGCTTAATGGTTTGAATGACTGAAATCCGAAAATAATGATTATTTAAAATGTTAAAACAAACTATTTCATTTGATCATATGGATATTCAGCATTTTTTATTAAAATATTATGTTTGTCAACTCAGTTTATTATTTCACTGTTCTTAGGAGATTTTGTTTCATAAGTTTCAATTATAAGTTGTAGATATAGCTTAATGTGTTTGCTAAAAAATTAAAAAAAAAATTAATGGTGATTGCATACATCAACAAATTGTTCACTACTTTATTTTATCTTGTTTCTCTATTGAATATTTCAAGCATATACTGCACTGTTGGTATCATAACATTACAGCTTTGACAACTATTCTGCGAATGTGATGGTAGATGGTCGACCAATCAACTTAGGTTTGTGGGACACAGCTGGCCAGGAAGATTACGATAGACTCAGACCACTTTCCTATCCTCAGACAGTTTGTAATTTTTATTTGAGTATTCAATTTTAAATAATGAACAATGGTTTGACTTTATATAAAAATTAAAAACATTTTTTTGGTTGTTTTCCATTTGCTTTGATTGCCATTATTTTATTTCAGCTCTTGTTTTACATTTAATTTCAGTTTTAAATTTATTAATATTTTTAATTTATCTCAATTATGCTTCTTAGCTTTTAAATATAAGTTCAACAAAAATCTTGTTTGGTTGATCAATAAAATTAATTGATTAATTATATTTAATTAATTTCATTTAATTAAATGTTATGCATTTTAAAATCTAATTTTAGTTAATGTGAAGGCTTGTACTTCAAGCCATCAAATAAAGTTCAAAAATTCCAACATCTGAACTTAAATTTTTAAACAGGATGTCTTCCTGATCTGTTTTTCATTAATTAGTCCAGCATCATTTGAAAATGTCAGAGCTAAGGTAATTATTTTTTGTCAATAGTTGTTATCTCAAAATTTTTTTGCTGCCCAATGCCCATGTTCCATTATTGAAAATATGGATGAAAAATGAAATATTATCACTTGGCTTTCCTAAAAATCAATAATTCAAAGTGGAAGTTGTTTTCACACAGCTCTCTTAAAAATCAATAATTCAAAGTGGAAGTTCTTTAATACTTCAAGAATCCAGATGTTAAATTTGTTTTGAAATGACTTTTATTCAGTGAAATATTTTTAGAATAACTTATTAAGAGAACCAAAGTTTTTTTCTTGTTATCCAAAAAATAATAAGTATATAAGCAACATTTAAAAAAAATCGTTGTCATCAAAACAAAAATTGAACGAAATAAACTTAATTAAGGATACCAAAAAAAACCTTCAAAAAATCAGAAGGTTTGATGAAATAAAATTTACGGTCAAACAAAGAAATAAAAAGAATAAGCATTGAATTAGAAACTAATTTTGTAAATAAACTTAGTAAAGAAGGAGTAAAGAGAGAGTGCCGAAACTGGATAAAAATGTCCGGCTTGGGCCTCTCGAAAAATGACACTCTGGTAAATATGAACAATTCATTCAAATTCAAAGCATTGTTTTTAACATAGCTAGTAGATAGTTTATGCAACAAAATTTGACTACGTTGGTATCGTCAAACTTAGTAGAATGGTTAGCATTTATCAATTGCCAAGTTATTAAAATAGAATGGTTAGTAAATATTAAAATTAAAAAACATGGTGAATGTTAAAAAATCAATATTTTTGATAAATTCATAGATTGTTGAGATAACAGAAATTGGAGGATAGTTATTTTATTAATATTACGATAATCACCAAATTGGAATAAAATAAGGAGGATGAAGAATAATATTAGAGATAGTAAACTTATGAAAAAAGTTGAGATTCACCAAAAGTAGGGGTTTGCAAAATTATTAACTACACCTAAAATATGGAATAAAGTGTCAAATTATATGAAACAAATAGGCTCAACATATTAACATTATGATATTTTTTAAAATTATGAAAGAAATTAATATTTTCAATGCATGCGTAAAACGTTTAAAAAATTAGTATTAAAATGACTACATAAACGCACATCATATCTCAAACCATTATACTGCCTACCAAAAAAATTTTCGAAAAAAGGTTATTTCTATTAATTTAGGATAATTTTATGTCGCTGAGTTCGAAAATGATGATAGTTTCTCTAATTTAGATCAATTTTTACGCAAACTTGATTTCAAATTTGTTTGATTTGTAAAACCAATGCCTTTTGCAACATTTATCGTTATTGTACAAAACGATATTTGATTACATGTAACAAAACAAAACATGTATAGCACCAGGGATATCTCTTTTGAGTTCAACAATAATTCACTATCGTTACGGAATACCATTTTTTCTGATTTCAATTTCCCGCATGTCCTTGTGGAACCTTTTTTCTGGTTCGTCGCTCATCAATCCGAGGTTCTCTGAAAACCGATCCATTTGTTAATGTAAGTAATGCTATTTTATACTCATGTTGCTCCCCTGATTTCTAAACGCAGTCAGCATATTTGAAACGAGTATTTCATAATTAGCAGACATCTGCATACATATTTCATAATCATAATTTCTTATTACCGAGGAGACTTTTCACTAGCACAACAAAATTCTCCTTCGCTTCCATTACACTTATTTATTGACTTTTCAAAATCTGGATCTCTGAAGAGCTGTCGGATATGAGAACCATCAAATTGAGGACCCTAACTTCTTCATTGTTATTCCTGAAAAAGCCTGAATTAAAAAACAACGGCTGTCCTTGCTGAAAGATTTAGTGAATTGCTTCATCAAGTCAAGTTTGATGTGCCACGGAGGAAACAGTATTCGATTTCGATTTCTTTCCATCAGCAGGTTATTGATGATGTTTGTCGCTTTACAGGGCATTAATTCCTGGCTAGTCCTACTTTATATAATGTTGTGCAGTGTTTCTAAAAAGAAACATAGAAATTTAGTGTACCCTGAGTGCTGTCCTAATAAAAAGTTGACCATTTTTAAGTCAACACAATTCAACCAGTTATGCTGATTATACCGAATTTTGTCCAGTAGCCTACATATTTCATTGCGTCATATTTTTCCTTTCAGTCGAGTGACGCAAGGATAAAGAAGCAAACTGATTTCCGTTGTGTTGGAGAACACATTTCATTGAACGTTTATTGCTATCAATAAACAAATTTCAATCTTTGGGATCATACTCCAGAACTCCAAGTTTGAGCTAAAGCTGTTCAATATCTGTTCAGTATGCTAACTCATTTTCTTCCGTGAAAAATTTGAGATATTCTTGAAATATTCTTAATGATACATACATAACAAAAGCAATGGCAGTAGTATATGATTATACTAAATTTTGCACAATACAGTAAAAAATTAACATTTCGTTATAAAATGAAAATTTGAGCTAACCTACCAAAACGAATATGATTTTCGGATATGCAAATTGACTATAATCAGCTAAAAAACCTTAGACCTATGTTTCTGTTTCACCAGTGTTATTAATCAATATCTATTATGACGTAATATAATGGTTCTATTGATATGATCGTAGAAAGGTTAGGTTTAGATTTTCTTTACAACGAATGTAACATTTCTTTTGTACCTTAAATATTTTTTTTTATTTTTCTCACAGTGGTTTCCTGAAGTGAGCCACCACTGTTCACAAACACCAATTGTGCTAGTGGGCACAAAATTGGATCTGCGTGAGGACAAGGAAACTATTGACAAGTTGAAGGATAAAAAGTTATCACCGATCACTTACCCACAGGTTACAATCAGTTATTATTTAAAATTTTTTTATTGCTTAAAGATTATTCCTAATTGGTTAGACTATTTTTGCATTTTTAAACAGTAAAGTAATATGAAGCTTACTTTAAACTGATTATTTTTGTTAATTATTAATTAATTATTTTTGACTTTTTGAACATCTATAGATTGTTAGGTAAACAAACGATAAACTAGTTCAATGTTGAGAGAAGATATACTTTTGTAATTCACCCCAACAATGTTTCAAATGTAATATGCAATGTTTCATATATAATGTGTCTGCTTGTGTATTTTCTTCAATGAATATGCCATTTCATAGTTTTTTTCATATCCTCACTGATCTTCCACAAAGAATTATTTGTTATGAAAGGAATGTTTATTTAATGAAAAATGTGTTCGGTTGGAGGCCGCACCGATGCTTGTTTGATGTTTCAGTGTCTTTTTTTATGTTTTAAATTTCAATGAATAACATTTTCTTATTGTGTCAGGGTCTTGCAATGGCAAAGGAGATTGGAGCTGTGAAGTACCTGGAATGTTCGGCATTGACTCAAAAAGGATTGAAAGCTGTTTTTGATGAGGCAATACGCGCTGTTCTCATTCCAAAACCAAAACCAAAAAAGAAAGCATGTAGCATTTTGTAAAAATAGATGAAAATATACATATGTGTAATTTATGAGAATGGCTGAAGATATACATACGTATATAATTTGTGATAGCTTCCAAAATTACGTAATATATTTGTGATCATGGGTGTAAGTATTGTTACTTTTGTCATTATTATTTTAATTGTTAGTAGTAATGAACGACCCCGTTGAACATTACAGATAAATAAAAATCATGAACTCTGCATCTTTTTGACCAAATTTTAATTATTACATAAAGTTTTAAACAATTTCATTTAATAGTCGTTGTTACTTTTAAATTTTTACTGTTTTAATAACTATAAAACTAAATAGCCTATGAATTTTTGGAAGCAATTTCAAGTTGTTTAAACTTCTTTAATTATTTTAAACAAATTCAAATAATTTTGAATTATGTGACCATATATATATATATATATATATATATATATATATATATATATATATATATATATATGTGTGTGTGTGTGTGTGTGTGTGTGTATGAGAATTACTTAATTTTTATCATTTTACAAATTTCGAACTAATTAAACACGCTTAGCTTAATTTTAACTATATTTTACAAGTTGAGCCAAGTTATGAACGGTTTTAATTAATTTGACACATCATATCAACTACAAAAAGTTTGAATAATCGTATAATTTGAATATAAAGCATGACTTCAACAACTTTTCAAGTAAATTTTACTGCTATGCAACAAACCTACTACAAACGTCTAACTACAATTGCAACCGACTTTGTATGATTTCTTTTGAACATCAAAGAAACATTTTTGTTGTCCAGTTTGATCAAAATTTTATCATTTATAAAAATTATTTCGACATGGTTATGTTAATAGCATGCAAAACTATACAAATGATTGCATAAAGTACAAAGAATTACCCCAGTGAATTAATAAAACAGAATTTTGTCGAACTTTTAAAATTCACTGAATATATAATTGGTTAATTGCATATTTCGTCTACCATAATTTCATAAGCCGTGAACTTCTTTTCAAAAAAGTAGCCAAGAAAAAATAAGTAACGATCATGAAGCATCTACTTAGAATACGTTCCCATCCATCCGTGCTCCTGTTTGAGGTTGTGCGCTAAAGTTATCTTTCCTTATGCGATGTCCCACGCATTTACTTTATATATGTAGGTTCATGATTTTGTTATTTACATTTCAAATATTTATATAGCCTTTTAATAAATTGTAGTGCAATGTAGCATTGTTTTAAATACTTTTAAGTTTGGATTAGAGGCGTAGCTAGGGGGAGGGGGGCGGGAGTACATATGTTTTCGGGCGCCAAGTACAAGAGTAAAAATCTTATCACAAGCATAAAAAAATGAAAAAATTTATTTACTAAAAAACTACATGTCAAAATAGACGATACAAATCAAAAATTTTATTGACAATAGCAGTTTCAATTGCAAGCTGCGAGCGGTCGTCCAGCAAATTGAAACTTATTTTATCTTGTCTGCGTGCATCAATGAGACAAGATCGTCTCTGATCTTGCTCTTATCAGTGTTGAAAGAGAAACATCGGAAATAACAAACAGATTTGAATAACATAATGGATCATTTTGCGACAATGAAATCTAGAAAAATAAATCTATTGTAGACTATGTAAATTATCTTTGACAGTGACTGAATCATATGTTATAATTTATCTTTGACAGTAACTGAATCATATGTTATAATTTATCTTTGACAGTAACTGAATCATATGTTATAATTTGTATATTTATATTTTATCTTTTAAATACAATGTTCCATCAAAATTTGAATTGTTTTTGTAAACAGTAATTTTTACAATGTTTATGTTATAAAATATGTGAGGGGGTTACATTGATGAAACTACTAGCAATTTTCCAAATCTGTTTGTTAGTCTTATGTTGAAAAATAAAATAGCCCTTCCAAACAGCTTTTCCCAGTTTTCACAGCTTCCATATGATGCATTTTGCTCTTCTGTTCAAGGTTCTTTTAAAAACCGCATCTGCGAAATATGTGGGTTAAATAATGCATCAATTGTGATGGCAAAAAGGCATCATGATATTCACAAAACATCTTTATTTCAGCATAATAAAGTTAGACCAGTCAGAGTTGCTGCTAGACGTCAGAGGAAACTTATGACAGTAATTGCATTTGAAAAAAACGAAGATGTTGAATGGCCGAATGAAGATGACGTGGACACTACCAACGTAGCGTTACCAAATATAAAAAAAAAGAAAGCCCATGTATTCCGTCGGTTTCAGTTTCACAGCACCTGACCAGTCTTTGGGAGGAAAGCAATTCGTTATCTTTCATATTAATTTGTTTTATTTTAATTATGGTAAAGCATTTAGATGTCAAACTATCGTCATATAAACTTGTCATTCGTTATTTTGATATCAATAAAAAATAAAATGCATAGAAAAATTACATTGTTTAATAACTCTTCACTAAGGAAGGGGGTAGAGTTTTGTGACATGCTTATTTTTGAGGGGTTGGTTGCTTTGTGACAGTTTGTGACATGGGAGAGGGGTAGTCAAAAAAACGTTAAAAAAGCGTGACACCTTTCATGGACAGCCTCTTAGCGACTTTGTTAATTTTACTATCTTATTTATTGATATGGTTTTTTGTTTGGGCTGATTACTTTGGTGTTATGTTTTTTTTGCTTCGGTGTTATTGTATCATTTACTTGTTTTTTGGTCGATGCACTTTGGTCGATATTGCTTTCTTCATTGTCTTCATCGTACCATCGGTGTTGTTAGTATATTTTATTATTGTCCTTCTTGTCAGGAGTATTGTTAAAATCTTTTGTTGTTTGTTTATCAGGGGTTGTTTAATGTCGTTGAGAATGGCTGCGGCTGATATCAGATGATAATGGCTGGAAATACAGTAGATTATTATTGTCTCTTGTAATTTCAATATTATGTGTGTGTTCTAAGTGTGTTTTTATAAAACCTTCCCTTTTGTGCATGGTTAGACGTTTGGTTAGCGATGTTGTAGTTACTCCAATATATGAAACATTCTGACGTGCACAGACGTCAAGGGGACATGTAAACTCATATATCAGATGGCTACGTTTTGAAGCCAAACGATGTTGAAGAGTGCAGTTGTTGATCATGACAAGGTTTGATGTCTTTGCATTCCCATAATAAATTCGTAGTTTTATTTTGTAGGAAGGGCTAGTCGGTTTAACATTTTTTATAAATAAAAATTTGTTTTAAGACGGATTAGTCCGTTTTGTAGTTGGTGTTCATATGATTCCTATAATAGAAGATGATGTCAGTATTTGGATTATTGTGTTGTGGACTGTTAAGTTGTAATTTATTTTTAATTATATCCTCAATCATTGCTGTGCAGTATCCATTGTTTACCAATGGATTTGTAAATCTTTTCAATTCCTCATCACGTTTTCCGGTTGACGATGAATGGGTGAAGGCGCGGTTGACGAATGCTTTTGTTGTGCTGATTTTATATTGTTCAGTCCATTCACTTTTTCCATCGAGGCAAATGCCTTAATTTGCATGCAGTTTTTACGTATACCTACTGCAGTTTCAAAGCTACGTTCATTGCAGGTGACAAGGACATCAAGAAAAGGTAGGGATTTATCATTCTCATGCTCAATGGTGAAATTTATTGGATTTGTTTTTAGAATAGTAGGTTTATTAGGATCTTCATATGATATGAAGATGTCTTCAACGTATTTTGTATATATATATATGAAGTTTGAGATGTGGGTTATCTTGAAAAATTGATTTTTCCAGATGACCAATATAGAAGTTGGCGAAAAGAGGTTGTATATATTGCATATATATATATATATATTGCATATATATATATATATATATATATATATATATATATATTATTATTATTGAAACATTTATGAAGCGCTAATTAAAGGAATCTCAAAAGCGCTATCTAACAAAAACTGAACTTAACAACATAATTGAAATAACAAACGAGAAATCATAATACATCGCACAGAAATAAGATTAAAATTTGGTCATAAACAGAAAAGTAATCGATTCAATAAAACGAAAATACGAAATAATATTTAGAACATGTCGACTAAACAGAAAGAATCGATCAATAATGCATCACAATGAAAATAAATGAGTTTTCATTTTCTTCTTGAAGTCACGCAGGTTTAGGTCCGGATTTCTGAGAGCAGCAGGCAGGTTGTTCCAAACAGCTGGTCCAGAAACAGCAATGTTACGAGAGCCTATACGGAGACTCGTTGTTGGGATCAACAGCAGGTTTGAAACATCGGATCTCAAGTGTGTTCCAGATGCTTTTGAAGATCTCTTTTTGAACCTGTCAGACAAATAAGATGGAGCTAGACCGTTGATAGACCTGTAGACAAGTGGTGAAATTTTGAACAACACTCTTTTTTCGATGGTTAGCCAATGAAGTTCCTTCAGTATTGGAGACACATGATCGTATTTTAGAGCTCCAACAACAACTTTTGCGGCTCGATTTTGTATTGATTGAAGTACAGCCATGGATCGATCAGGTAAGTCATAAAACAAACTATTGCAATAGTCGACGCGTGAGTGCACAAATGCATGAACCAACGTCTGCAACGTGGATGTATCTAGGGATCGTCGAATTTGATTGATTTTCCTGATTTGAAACATGCATTCGGCTGAGAGCTTCTTAATGTGTTGTTTCATTGACAAACCTGAATCTATCGTGAAGCCCAGATTAGCTGCTGTCTGACAAAATGCGATGACCTCATCATTAACAGTTATTGAATTTATATCTATTCTTGAAAGTTGCTGCCATGTTCCAATTGGTAAAAAAACAGTCTTGTTTTGGTTTAGTTTTAAACCATTGTTTTGCATCCACTTATTGACCCCAGACAAACATTTAACCAGTTTGTCCAATTCTGATTTAAAAGAATCTGGCCTGCTCGTAACAATAATTTGCAAGTCGTCCGCAAAAGCATGACCTGAAAAACCAAATGATTCTATTATTTTTAGTACTTCAGATGTATAGATCAGGAACAGAATAGGACCTAAAACCGAA